TAGATCAATGCTCACGGTATCAACCATTGGATTGTCTGGTCCAGACACGATTATTTACAAACCGTCGTTATGCAGCTGGAATGTTGCTTGGTGCGGCGTTAAACAAACAAACAAACAAACAATCATAGAGTCAGTTCTTGCAACGGGCATGGTCTACTGGGCATCCATCACATCCCGATAGCATATAAAGACGTGTCTCGAGCTAGGAATATACATATTAGTTTAGATATTAAATATAATCAGTCATGAACGTATTGATCAGTAGTTGAGCATACATTGTTACAGCTGAAAATAAACAATTTATCAGTTATAAATAACATTGATGTTAACGACAGTAGTTTATGACTAAATTGTTTACGTAAGTTTAACGGTCTCCCTTTAAGAGTAACAGACTATACTACTATCAGGCAGTCTGTCACACTACTGTCAAAATGGATACGCTCAATATTCTATTGTTATAATTATTAATTACAATAAGTTATTAACAAGTAGAAACATTCAGTGCAATTATTATAGCTATGTGGACTGAATGTGTTACGCCGGATTCGGTAAGATTCCTACTGAATTCATTGATAGGCATAACTTCGAAGTTGACGGATGAAAAAGTAATTTGTGGATAACAACTTCTTTAATTACTGTAAAGGCGACGTTTTGGTATAGGTCCTTACACCGTTGTCAAGCAAGGGTATTCTGATCTGTACCGAAACGTCGCCTTTACAGAAAATAAAGAAAGTGTTATCCATAAATTGTGTTTCCTATGATTCCCACTATTTCACGGCACTCTGTAAATAATAGAGCCCCATCCTACCAGTGGTTGATAGCATGAGCGCCGATCGACCCGTGAGGATCCGGGGTAGAATAGGTCTTCAGCAATCTTGTTAAAGGCGACTATGCTTGTCGTAAGAGGCGACTAACGGGATCGGGTGGTTAGGCTCGCTGACTTGGTTGATGCATGTCATCGATCCCAATGGAGTGGATCGATGCTCATGATATTAATCACTGGATTGTCTGGTCCAGACGATTATTTACAGACTGCCGTCATATAGCTGGAATAATGCTGAGTGCGGCGTTAAACAACAAGCCAACTAACGATCGACAAATCGGGGCACACTGTGACCATCCGGTCCCCACGAGGTCGACTCTCCCGACAGGCACGAGGTACTGCGCCTAGTAGTCCCACGGGGGAATGGTTCGGTTTAAACAAATCACATCACAACAGAATACGCACACAACAAAATAGCAGACAATCACAAACAGTTTTTATGCGTGTTTATGCTAAAATCCGAAAATAATATATATAATATAATATTATATATATATATCTTTGTTTTTATTTCCTGTCCCCACTATTATTGGTGGGTAGGAAATATAAAGAATCGATTACAAAAGCCTAATTAAAGTAAGCGTTAACGATTAAATGATATATCTCTAACACTGCAAAAAATACCTTAAGGTCAATTTAGATGCAGCTCGCGCATGTTAATGTTTGAAGTTGGCATGCACAAGACAAATGTTTAAGGTTATGTAGACAATGTTCCTTAAATGTCGCCGAAGATGAATCTCACCTTTGTTTGTGTGTTGTAAATGTGATAATTTAATGACAAAAACAAGTTTCCTCTATAATATCACATATGAGCAAAACGACTGTACGAAATCTCTCTATTCATATATAATGCCTATTATTAAGAAATGAATCCTTGTAAAAAATTAAAAAATTAACCGCTTCCACATTGTCATGTGTTCTGTACTATGGGCCTGTGGCCTTACGGTAAAATATGAATAAACTGAAATAGCATTGCAAAGTAGTGATAGTTTCAAGGCTCCTTGTATCTTCATCAGGTAAATAAAATACTGTATATAATAAACAAGAAGTTGAATCCAGTCATATGTGTTGTATATATAGAGTCTGGCCACTCACACAAAGCCTTGTCACAGAAATAAATAAATGTATATTTTACCATAAAGCACTTCAAACAAAACTTACGTCACTGTGACAACAGAACAAACTTTAATAAAATATAATAAATATGGAGCAATGCACACACTTATATTAAAAACAAGGTGTGCTTTGATTCATCACAATGCAGTTCGCATGCTCAGCATATATAGATAAGTTGTAGTTCTAAACTAATGTGTTAGTCTTTCCAAAACTGTTGGCGGGAAATATGACAATTAAACAAAACAATCATCAATAATCCATAACTCTGAACACAATGACATACATTATATAACGACTAATGCAGGTATCAATTAGGACAGATGTGTGGATTAAGGTAGACTACCGTCTGGCCTCGGAAATGAAAATATTTATCGTAATAAACACTTGTTAAATAGATATAATGAAAGGCAACAGAGACTCGCTTCATATTCTGAAACTGTAGTAATCTAGACTTGCTAACTTGTATAGACTTGCATGGGCTGTGTTAGATATATTAGTTTCAGGGTATGCATGACAGACAAGGCTTAACGATTTAACTATAAGGCTAAAAAATAATGGTCTTGGTTCTCAGGCACCGCCCGCATTATTATAAAGTCTGCCGCACGTTTTGTTTTTATTTCCATTTAAAAAAATAAAAATCCTAATACTTAAACACAATGCGATCCAATGTAGCATGTAGTTACTTACTGGTTTGAACTAGCAACAACAACAAAAACACCGCCCGCCCGCACAATATTTTCAAAAGTCATTTCCTGGGAACCAATTCTTTTATATTTTCAAGCCTTATCTTCATCTGCTGAAAAGAATTACAGGATAAGATATGTTGCACAATAACATACAGTTTAATATTTACATGATAAATGAAACTACTGGAGTTCCTTGCGACGAAGAGTCTGGACCTATATATTCATTCCCATTACAGATAATCCTTTAGATATATCTCAGTTGAATCTCCTATCAAGTCTATAGCTATCAACTAAACCTACCCTCTCCTTGCGGCTCAGTTTCGGGGGCGCCGGTGCCTCCTCTGTGGGCGGGACCTCCTCGGGTGTGGGAGTCGGTTCCATAACGTCCTAACAGTGCGGGCCTTAGAAACGTAATGGGCGCCCTCAGGGTCTCTTCTATGACGTCACTGCGCCACACGTCACGTGACGCGTTTTACGCCGGGTTCCTTGAGCCTCTCCGAGTGCAGACTCGTAACACAATGTCAGCAGATTCGCACATGTTTTATCAGACCGAATTTAATTTCCAGATAGCATATTTCTCATTTATGATTTGATATACCCCATGCAACCATTTCTGTAATTTTAAAAAATAGAAAAGTAAAGATGTCTCTTTTTCAAGGATATTTTTTTTAAATAATGTATATCAATCACGTGGTTTGCGGATCCGTCGAAAAGAAATTTAACAAATTTGAAATAGAATTAATAGGTTAAGTGTATTAATTCTCTTCCCACGAAATTCAATGGAGAACCCAAACAACTTTGTTTTTTCATGCGACCGAAAATATTTATATCTACATGACTTCACTTTTAACTTATCAATTTTTAAGAGAAAAAAAATCGATCACTGACTCTATGTGGACTAAAATTAAAACGGTGATGAAGAAATGCTTATCGTATTATAATGAATTCAAGTTAATAATTTTATTGGACATAACTGTATTAAAAATAGTTCATTCGGTATAAATGTAAACCTAAAACAAAAGCATGGAATCCTGGAAGGATAAAACAAACCACAAAAAGACAAAATTAACGTGGCATCGCGACAGTCTGGCCAAATGTTGCGTTTGTAATAATATGTGAGTTGACAATACTTATAGGTCAAAATGTCGTGTTTCGCATTGTCTTGAGGTCGCACTTTGGTTGACTGGTAATCTTGGTTGACATTCTCGGTTCTAAGATTCTATGAATAATCAAACAAATGCTGTTTGAGGTATATTTATGTTGTCAAGGCATCAGACAGTTAAAAAAGTTTGCTCGTAGTTTACGGAAATCTGTCAAGTAAATATTTTCGTCGCACAGTACATTTACTAATTGTTCGATACAATGAGTAAAATAGCTCGGTGTCTTTTATACAAATTTGAAATATTTTAAAGCATTTAGAAAAGTTTGTCTTAGCGATACATTTCACACCATGAGATGAGAGCGTTGCTATGCTACACATCTGTGTAATGCCACTGTTATGTATGCGATGAGTGAGTGAGGGAGTTGTGTTTCACGCAGCTTTGGGGAATAAACAAACACTATAACAGCCGGTTACACCTCACAAGAAATGGGCTTTACATTTTGTACGATTAAATATGTAAAGGAACGCAACTTCTCGTCCCTTATTTGTTATGGGTTTGAGAAAATTACATGGAGGCATGGGCCATGGGGATGTGTGAGTGAGTGAGTATGGTTTTACGCCGCTTTTAGCAATATTCAAGCAATATCAAGGCGGGGAACACTAGAAATGGGCTTCACACATTGTACCCATGTGGGGAATCGAACCCGGGTCTTCGGCCTAACGAACGAACGCTTTAACCACTAGGCTACCCCACCGTCCCTGGGAATGAGTAATCGTTGGAAAGATGTAAACAAACTTTTAAAAGAAACCTTATCTTTGTCTACCATGTATACAATTATATGCGTCCATTCGTGTTTAAGGTTTTTTAGCGAAACCTGGAAGATTGACATAGAACATCAACGTCTTCCTGTTTTAGAATGGTGGACCAGTTGTCTAAAAGGCCCCAAATCCCCTTGCAGAGTTGCATCCCTTAGACATTCCAGGATATAGTGATCGTAGGTTCGAATTCCAGAATTAATAATGATCCTTGGGTTGTCAGCAACACATACGGCTTCGTGGGTTTCACCAAAATGGTAAACGACTGAGACAAGCCAACCCTGGGTGTTTTGCTTCTACATTAAGTTTTGAACCACTCCGTGATATAACTGAAATAAACAGACATTTAAGCGGCGTTTTATCAAACTTGCTCATTCACTCTTAAAATACCAATCAGTGTGCTATTACTGGGTTTACCACCCGCTAAAGGTGTCTGCCTTGTCGGATGCGCTTCCAGGTGTCCAATCCAGCATGCGTCAGTTGAACGCCGCTTTAAACCAGCTCAAGGACTCCGCGAAGAAGGGCAAGTTCACGGTGTACGTCGACAAGAAGGAACACGTTCTGTCCGGCAAGCCTCGGGTCATGGCAGGAGTCACGTGCGAAGAAGGGTTGACAAGGGTTGACGCACACTGCAGTAAGTTGACAAGGAGTCTTTTTTAATATAACCAACTTTGCTATTTGTTGAACATTTGGATATTGCAATGACATGTCGAGAGTCACTCTCACTCTTTTTTCGCTCGTTCTGGTAGTGAGATTCATCACGTAAAACGACAGCTGCGGAACGTTCCTAGATTTGATGTTGCAATACATCGTTGTACTGTTTGATTTCGAAAATATGAAACGTCTCATATTAGAGGAGGAGGGGGGCGGTTGAATCTTCACTTAATAATCCGCGTGTTGAATCGTTTGTTGTGAAAAGGCGCATACGAGTTGAGAGCCTAGCAATCCCCTCCTGAAGGGCGGTCGGGTAGCCTAGTGGTTAAAGCGTCCGCTCGTCACGCCGAAGTATCGGGTTCGATTCCCGCCATGGGTACAATGTGTGAAGCCCATTTCTGGTGTCCCCCGCCGTGATATTGCTGGAATATTGCTTAAAGCGGCGTAAAACCATACTCACTCATTCCTCCTCTGAATACCATACTAGTTAACACAAATTCTCAAAAGCACATATCTTAAAGTCTATTTTAAAGAAAATCTATAGGACATAGGACATGATCCAAGAACATAAAAGGGTGCTATTTCAAGTTACATTAGCTGAAAAATATCGAAAACATAAAAAAATATAAAGGATTTTATATCTGCGTACCAAATACGGTGATATATGTTTGTTCAGAGCCGTACCACACTGTCCCACACTGTCCCGAATATTAATTACGCCCCCCCCCCCCCCCCCCCCCCCCACACACACACACACACCCGCCACCACCCCCCTTGCCTCAGTTGATGTAATAAGGCTGTATCTGTACATTGTGTTTATGTTATCTGAGAAATGTTACATTCATTGTAACTTAAAATGTAGTGTATTCAGTGCAATGAGATGCCACATCTACCTATTTCACAGTTCCGTGTGCGCCGGGGACGTTCTACCACCACGGGTATTGTGAGAAGTGTGGGCGGGGCAGCTACCAGCCCGGGGAGTCCCAGCTGACCTGTCACGACTGTCCTCCGGGGGTCACCACTGTCGGTCGGGGTGCAGCCTCCAAGAAGGAATGTTCTGGTATGTGTAGGACAGGTCTCAACATCGCAACACACCATGTCCCTAAACGTGATAATTGTGAAAATAGAAATTATATTTGTGTGGTGACACGGAGCTCATTAAGGCTACATTTATAGAATTTTGTTTATTATCTAAGAGTGGATTACACAGGAGACCGCTGGGTGAGATCAAGCGGGACCTCATTCAGACCTATCCAGAGCAGTGTGACGTCATAGTTACCATGACGTCACAATCAAATGACATCACAGATCTCTCAGGGCACAGATCACAGAGCTAAGATCGCTTTATGCAAGTGGGCCCTGATGTTTTACTGTGTACACAATAAAAATGTAGGAGAATGATTTCGGGTGATAATAGGAACTTATCCTTGTGTTTTTTGACAGCAAATATGATCCAGTATATCATCACTCTTTCATCGACTCGTTTTGAAATATTTAATCAAAGACACAGTATTATTATCATCGAAAGGTATTCCGACAGAAACACAACAGTTATTACAATTCGATTGATGGTCTCATACATACTGCATCCTAAAATAATTATGTTTTTTCTTCCGGTATTAGTGACCTGTGACCCCGGACACTACATGAAGGACCAGGACTGTCGACCTTGCCACAAGGGAGAGTATCAGACACAGAAAGGTCAAACGTCATGTCGTCAATGTCCTAAAGGGGAGACTACTCTTCGTCCTGGCGCTAAAAGCAAAAAGGAATGCCAAGGTTAATAAACAAGTGAAATGGATAAATATTTGATAAAGTTTCAAGATTTCAAAAAGTACATTTTTTTCCACAGGAGCTGATTTTTTTATTTTATTTGGTACAACGCCTATTGTCTAGGTAAAGCCTGAGGCAAAAACTTTTTAAACGGTATTTTCAGGTAATTTCTGCTTCTTTTATTTAAAAAAAAAATTCACCAAGAGATGTTCTTTATCTAATTAACAGCGTTACCAGATGTAAATTGAAGTTTCAGTTTTCACAAAAGATGTAAAATAACCAAATCAATTTGACTTTCAGCATCAGAGACCACTCCAGACAAGAGCGGAGCGGGTAAGTATATAGACCTGCATGTGTTAGAACTCACACTTAAAAGTGTTACACTTTGACTGTGATGTACTTGCAGTGGCACTAAGGACAGCTTAATTAATATATTATCCACCTTTCTTTATTTCAAGTGTGTTGTATGTTTGTTCACGCATGAACATTTCGTTTTCTCTGTATACTTACTGTCTTTATGTCATAATTTTTTATCACAATTCCTTAAACGTGTAGGGGCGGTGAGGTAGATCGACCCCCACATCTGTGAAGCCCATTTCTGGTGTACACCGCCGTGGTATTAATTTACTATTTTGTTTTAAGGCGTTAGGCTGTTAAAATTTAATCACCCATGCAGTAAGAGTTGAACGTTTTATAGTTCCTTCTTTTGATATAATTATGAACATTGTTATTACAGTAAACTACGGTTATAACGAACACGCTTATAACAAACTGACCGATATAACGAACTTACTTGTTAGCCCCGGCCACGTGTTGCATATATGCTGTATATATGCTTATAACGAACTATGGTTATTACGAACTAAAATGGGTGGTCCCTTTGAGTTCGTTATAACCGTAGTTTACTGTACACGTAAAGCTTTTTTGACATTGTTGCTTCTGTTGTGGTTCCACGTTGTACAGCGACCGAGCGGACTTGTGATAACCCGGACCTCCTTGTGAGGGGGCACATGGGGGCTACAACTATCAAACTGAATAATTGTCTGATTTAAACATAATGTTCATGACGCCTAGCGGGGAAACTGATCTCCTTTTTCTGTGCGTGAACGGAGTTAACTCAAATGCGACCTATAGGTTCACATTCACATCTCCAGCTTTTGGAAGGAGAGGAAGTATTAGAAGGCTTGTATTTAAGAAAGTTTCGGAGATGTTAACTATTGCTAATAGACTGGCGGTCGCCCCTAAATCAGTACCCTTGCATGAAATAGACCCTGCGGTCAGGACGACCTCCTGTGACGTCACAACGTGAATACAGCGTGAATGTCCGCGAATACAGTACGCGGACATCCATTTTCTTCGAGTCCCGTCCAGAAGCGACAATGGCTCTCAATCGACCTCTGTCCACGTGAACCTTGAGGAACCACTGTGAGAAGCAGAAATAGTCTAGGAGAGTCATCCAACGCCCCTTGCTGGCAGATCACCATCAAACGTTCCGTAGGGCATGGTGTTTAGATCGACGGGTTTGTAATCGGAGTACCTGGCGGAAAATCCATTGATCGGATGAAAGCAGGTGCGTTCTCCATGTCACGTACGGACGAGTGATGGTTTGTAGCCACAGGAATACGACCCATATACTCTGACACATCAGTTCAACTGTCCCTTATGGGTACGCTCGGTAATTATGTGGAGGTATCACACACGATTAAAAACTGGAGCTGGTTTCCATGTCCTGGAACCCCATGCCGTCATCATCCATTTTGAAAACAACTCACTCGTCACAATGATAACGCCAGACCCCAGCGTTCCCTGGCAGTGAAAGCCTGCTTCCAGAACAGATGAGAGTTGGGTTTAACACGGCTTTTAATAGTATTCCAGGTACATCACGTCGTGTCAGCTTGAGGTCGGAGGAAAGTCCGAAGTGATGTAGGTCTTAGACGTTTACCGCTTTGGTGAAACCAACGAACACGGGTATGGTGCTGACAAACATGGAAACATAATCAGGGCGAACAGGGATTCGAACCCACAATCATAGGTTTCTGGCGTGCCCAAGGGACGCAACTCTGCACAGCGAATTGCGGCGTCTTAGACGACTGGGCCACACGTGTCCCCCCCCCCCCCCCCCCCCCCCCCCCGACCCCCAGAACAAAGCTGTGACGTGCACATTCGGGGATGTCTGGGAATCGCATTCAGGCAGCGGAGCCTCCTGTAAAGAATGGGTGAATCAGAAGCTGCTTTGCATCGGGAGAGGCTGCAGATGCCCCTCCAGCAGATCCGGCGTCTGACTGGAGGGATGACACGCAAAGTGAAGGACGTCACAGTGGAGTACTCGCTTCTGAACCTTTGACCAACGGGTGTCATCTTGGGACTCGAAGTGACATTGTTTCCAGAAATAGCCACCTCAATTTGTCGTTTGAACTCTGCAGTTCCACACTTAAAAGGGATATTAGTTTGGGGTGAAAACATTACCGGCGATTGTGGTACAATATCGTCATTAAACCTCAGCTGACAATGGTTTTAGTTTCTTATAGGGTCGTTATAGGTTATAGGTTCCGAGTTCATTTTGTCAGTGGGGCGGTTGGGATAGCCTATTGGTTAAAGCGATTGCTTGTCACGCCGAGGGCCTGGGTTCGATTCCATTGGTACAATGTTATTCACTAAACCTACAAATATCGACAGCAGTCCAGCTTAATGAATATCGAGCGGCGCAGTGGTCCAGTGCGTCGTATTTCGCTGTCGAGCTTGTGTGTCTTAGCATTGCCAGGATCTGCTGAGCGTTGACTCCAAGCCCAGATTCTCCCTGACCTTGACCCCTGGTTTATCGGCACCATATCCCTACCTCGTCATGTTACCGAGGAAACGGAGTTAACAAACTGTAAAAGCCCAGTCAGTTAACACCCTCGCCTCGGGAAGATGTACCTCGTTGATTTTCATCAAAATTTGCGACCAGTCTCTGTCAGCTTTCCTCCCACACTAAGCTGTTATACGTTGTAAATTATTGAAATTAGTTGTACAAAAAACTGGTTGGAACAAAACCTAGTCACTAAGTGTGCCAGTTCAGTTACCGATTAGCCAATTGATTTTCGGGGGTAAGGTGGTGGGGTTTCTAAAAAATCAAGCCCCTGTATTACTTCTTCTTTTTTTCAAATACCTCTCGCATTGAAGGGGAATAAATGAGCACCTGTTTACGTTGTACAAAAGAACCTGGGCTCTTAAACATTAGCCTCATGGTTAAAGTGTTCGTTCGTTACGCCGAAGACCCGGGTTTGAATCCCACATCCCACATCGCCCATTTTCCGGTGTCCCCCGCCATGATATCGCTGGAATATTGCTAAAAGCGGCGTAAAACTATACTCACCCAGCGCGTCATTCTCGTTTCAGCTGGTCAGAACTCGGACAACGACCCAGCAGAAGTACGTCAACCCCACTTGGAAATACCGATAATCATCCAGAGCAGGCGGTTCCCCGTCGGTATCGTCATCGGTGCAGTTGGCGTGTTTTGTCTGTGTGTAATGACATTTGTTCTCGTCGTGTGTAAAATCAGGTAGGTTGTTCGTCAGATGTTTATGTTGTCTGATCCAGACATGAATATTTACATGCACAGTCGTATGGCTGGAGTGCAGTGTTAACCAACAAACAAATATGTGTGTGCTGGCGATTAGGTGCCTCACTCTGGCAGGGTGGGTTCGAATCCCGGATGGGACTTAACCCCCAAAAGTACTAGAATCTGAACTTTACTAAAAAGTGTTATCGAAATATAACATTTGTTAAACAATATCATTTCTGAGTGTTTGATCCATCCTGTTCGTGCCTCCAGACACAACCGGTTCAACAAGATCAGAGTGAAGGAGATGGAGTCTCAGCTGCAGGCCATCGCCCGGGCCGTCACCTACATCACCGTCCCCATCACCGGCATCCACCCCAACAAGGTGATGATCCAGCCGGGCCACAAGAAGGACATCTAGCACCACTCTCCATCTGGTGACTAGCAGGGCAGTCACACCAACCTGGGCACCAGGACATCTAGCTGGGGACTAGCGCCACTCTCCATCTGGGGACTAGCGCCACTCTCCATCTGGTGACCAGCACGGCAGTCACACCAGCCTGGGCCTAAGGACATCTAGCGCCACTCTCCACGTGGTGACCAGCAAGGCTGTCATCTCAGTCAGGTGTTGTTTGGGGCTAAACTCAACATAGCCTGATGACAAGAAATTTGAAATTCTAGCCACAAATTGGTTGTTCTTTTTATTGAAAATTGATGTGGTCTTACAACTGCATGTATTATAGCTTGCCACAGTAATTCATTCCCACCTTCAATATTTCACACTTTCAGTTATATATATTATATGTTATAGCTATCAGTATCATTTTTTCGGTCATGAGCATACTATTTTTTTTGCAGTTTTTTTTATAGAAAAAAATTCTGACATATATTGAATAAATAACCCAAAAGATCTTCATAGAATGTTTTAATTATCAAACTTTAAGGAGCAAACATATGAATAATGGAATTCTCAGCATATGGTTTGACCCTCTACTCAGAGGTTTGATAACAAGAATGCCTTTTGAATTTTGCCTAGAAATGTATCTTGGTCTATTGGCAGGTGGTATGTTCCTACAGGAACTGTATGTATTGTAGTTTGGTCTACAGCAGTTCTTCAACCTGCCTTCAATACGTCACATGTTCAGTATACATGATATTTTAATGTTGTATTGTCATCCTCATGTGTCATGGGGATACTAATAGACATATGTAGTTTGTAAATGAAATACCGTATTCGACATAATAAGCACCCAGGGCGCTCTCAAAATTAGAAATAGGGGGCTCTTATTAGAATACTATTTTAGTGAAAAACAACAGTTGAAAGATCGTAAATTTCGTGGTTTATGCTGACAGCCTGAAATGTTTATATTCATCAGATATATTTTTCCAGAATTTAATTGCCCATAATTAAGGGTGCATATAACAAACGTATTATGCACGAGTAAATAGTCTTGTGTACATTTATCATTCGGAAGGGGTGGTAATTGGGATTGTTTACTAGCCAGTGTATTAGCAAATATCGTCGTGGGCGCTTATTACAGCGGGGCGCTTATTACGTCGAATACGGTAGTCAGACCAGTTTCTAATGTAATTCGGATCTAGAGTAAATTCCCAAAAGTTTCACATCTGGAAAGATGTGTTTAATTATCAAATATTTTGGACACACTTGGAAACTGGATTTGAGAACCATACAAAAATTGTTGTGAATGTTTTGACATATGCTTTGTAGATCCTTACCATGCTGCTTAATTTCCTAAAGTACAAGTCTTCTAAGAACCATGTCTGGTTTATCAAAACCTGGAATTGTCCCGCTGGAGCCATTCGAAATGTGACTCCATATTTTGGTGTCATAAAGCAGGTGTGACTCTTTCTGTCTATTGTCCTAGAAGTAAACTACTCTGAGATTTGTTCTTCAACAATCTGGTTATAATGCTAAGGTTATTTATGGTTTAAGGCTGCACAAAGCAGTATTCCAGCTATATGACGGCGGTCTGTAAATAATCGAGTCTGGTCCAGACAATCCAGTGATTGACATCATGAGCATCGGTCCACACAATTGGGATAAGATGACATGCAACAACCAAGTCAGCAAGTCTGACCACCCGATCCCGTTAGTCACCTCTTATGACAAGCATAGTCACCATTTACGACAAGCATAGTCGATTCAACAATCTGATGCCACCTAGAAATGCTGGAGTCACATTTTACTGTTGTAAATATTCAAGAGATGTTCATGATGTCAATCACTGGATTGTCTGGACCAGACTCGATTATTTACAGACCGCCATCATATAGCTGGAATATTGCTTTGTGCGGTATTAAACAAAAAACAAGTTTTCAAGAACATGTTTCTGATGTCTGAGTTGGGGTCCATCTTGTGTTCCTTAAGAATAAGATTCATCTCCAACAGATCACTTCCTGTAGTATTTAAAAACATAAGGATCCGGAAAAATGTCCACCTTCACGAGAATATTACTCATCTCAGCGTATCAAAAAGCTTGATTGTATAGGTGTCTTTACAGTCTCCCAACACTGTGTATTGTGTTTGTAATGCAGGAAATAAACACCGACTTGGCCTCTTGTGATGCTTTAACCATTGCACAGTCCCGTGTGTACAAGCAATAAGGTTTCTAAACCAATACACTAATTATCTAGGATACAAATCAGATGCATTCTCATTTCAATTTCAGCAATAAAGTTCCTTTGCAAAACATCAAATGTTGTTGTTTGAAAGTTGAAGTGTAGGATCCAAACCAATAACTACCTGGCAACGTGTTTGCTAGCCTGTTGGTTTGAGGCCTGTGAAAAGGCATACAGACCAGTTAACTATTGTTGGCCATTCTTTTGTCCTGTAGCAATATTTAGCACTTGATTACCACTGATTGTATTCAAGACATTAATAATTTCAAAAATTAATCTTGAAAGATTATTTAATCCTTGAAATACAAAAGGTTATTAGAGAGATATATTACAAAAAAGGAGTGAAAGGATACCTGATTATTTGATATCACTACAGTTCATCATGGCATGACTATTAACTATAGTAATACGCTCATGAACCAAGGATGGTATAAGTGTTCACTCGTCACGCCAAAAACCCAGGTTCGATTCCCAACATGGGTACAATGTGTAAATCTGATTTCTGGTGTCCCCTGCCATGATATTTTTGGAATATTGCTAAAAGCGGTGTAAAACCATACTCACTCATGAACCAAGGATCATAGTCAGGGTAAACCTAGACTTGCACTCAGTCTCCTGTGGTCTGAGTGGAATTGTCCCCCTGTACCTGCTCATTATCTTTCCAGAAACAGGGACATAACTCAGTTGCCATGGAAACAAAGAGAACATGAAGAGCAACAAATAAACCATCTGGTTGATTTTATATCATTTTTATTGCAAATATATATCTTAGTAAATCATATTTTGGAACAATTCATTGCAATTTACAAAACATCATATAAAAGAGCAAGATGTACAGAATTGTGAAATGGCAATACAAACAGAGACGTGCACCCCAAATGATATTGCACATATACCTCTCAGCAATTACCATTACTATTATGTGCTGACATAGAAGCCTTAAGCAAGACAAACTTTTATGGTACTGTAACAACTCTAGGGATACCAACCCCAGGATGAAAAGCCTCAACAAGAATCTGATGAAGCTATGTTTAAAATAATTAAATATTTTTTAGGATTTCAGCACTTTTCACAACTGCCCCTCCCAAAACCCTTCAAGAAAACATTGTTTTATCCAATTTTGTTTATCTCTTTTTTTGTCACCATGGACATGAAGAATATTACCTACATGGCAATGCTTGAGTGCTTTCAGTCACATGATACTGTTGATTTGTAAGTAAAACTAGGATGAACATGGGTGGAGGTCATCATACATAATCCTGTATACACATCTCAAACAGTGATTTGTAACTACACATAATATTATTTTCTCAAGAACTATTAATTTTTCGACAGGCATTGTCTGTATCACAGGAACGTGATATATCCGTATAAAAGTGGAATTCCATGTTTTGGTATCTAGCCCAAACCCCCATCCCACATCCCCCATCCCACATCCCACGCCACCATCAGAGTCTGCCCCGGACCAGGACCAGGACCAGGTTGGTGGTGTTTCATTCATCCTTCAAACAGATGCAGGGGTCACCTGACCAGTTACCATAGTTATATGTACAAGCTGCATCTGATGCACTCAAACACCTTCCCGAGGCAAGGGAGTTAACTGACAATAAAAGTCCAGTTTCCACCCTTGCCGAACTAGGCTGGAATTATGGAGCCATATTTTGGCTGGACTAACGAGTCCAATCAAAACGCGTAACAAAATCAACATCTGGTTCGTAAACTGCCGTGCAGATTTCGGCCGATAGTCAGTTAACTCCTTGCCTCGGGAAGATGCACATCAAGTCTCTCTACCAACATTTCTGAATATACTGTCAAGTTGAAGGGGGCGTGGCCTAAATGCAAATGTCCGATTGGGATTTTAAATTTTGCGGACCCCTGCTGTCAACCTAAACTACTTCAACAATGCATGACGGTGGGAAACAAAAAAATGTATGACGGTGGGAAACAAAAATGACTTAACTTGAAGGCAGAGTGAGCCCCTTACCAACATTCATACAGTTAACATTAAAGCAGAGCCAGTCTCCTACACAGGATATACAGGTTGTGGGCAGCATTACCCATGATGGTAGCGACCTTAACAATACCAGGTCATAACTCTCTGCATAGGTGCAGTTTAGTCTTTCTCAATGCTGATTGGTCAGTTGAAGCAATATGATTGCTCCTTTGTTGAGAGTACAGTTATACACCGAAATCGTTACATACAGATATCTACATCATCAGAACAAAAGGAGGACTTCATTCAAGATTCTGACGAGTTAACATTGTTTTTCATTCTACATACAATACGTATGTTACAGTCAAAGTGTAACATGTGGGTCAAATATTTGGAATTTGTTATCATAATAAAGTACATGGACAGATTTTTCAGTCAATTTGTAAAATAACTGAAATATTTAGTCATGTAAAATGCCTAATTGAAAACTTCAGTCATTTTACACATTGACTGTAACATATACATACCACTCAAAAGGAGTTCAAGAACACAAAAATTTGTCATATGTCTATAGTTCATCTGTTAATTATGCTACTGGTAGATTTATCCATCCAAACTTAATTCAGAAATGAACACAGCAAATCTGCTTGATGTAGAAGAAAGCCTGAAGTGATGCCGGTCTTAGACATTTACCACTTTGGTGAAACCCAGAAGCATGGATATGTTGTTGGCAAACCTAAAACAAGTAATTGGGGTGAAAATGGGATTTCAGTTTCTTGCACGTCTATGGGACACAACTCTTCACATCAAATTGCACTCAGATATAGTATTCTGACTCTGAGCCAACCAGTTCTTGTTTTAGCACCTTAGGGCTAAAAAGGGTAAAAAGTGCCATCTTTTAACGTCTTTAGGTTTGACGTGACCAAGGGATCGAACCACCAACCATCCGCTCTCCAGGCAGATGCTCTATCCAAGAGGAAATTTGGCATGGAAGAGAACAATACCTTCATAATACTGGCATACAGAAGCCATTAAAAAAGTCAATCTCATTAAAGTAAGATACAATAGTAAGAACTATCGATACGAGGATCTCAAAACCCTGGTTGCATAAAGTGAACACTGATGAAACTATGACACCCAGACATGACGGTATAAAACATCCACAACATAATGGTCTGACTTTATTATTCTCATTCAGAACTGGCTACTTAAGTTTGTTTTCAAGTTACAGAACATAAGACATCCTGCTCTGAATGCCAATTTTCAGAACTTAGAAGCCTTGACATTGATTGGCTTATTGGAATATTCACCTGTATCAGAGTAAAAGATTGGATTTTAATGACATTATTGAAAAGGTTAATATAGCAAGTTGAGGGCAAAATACAGGTGCACCCTTCAAAACAATCTCTTGTGTTTCAAAAAACGGATTAATTAATGACTCTTTGGTAAATTTAAGTCTATGGACATTGACTTCAATCTACCACCTCTGTCCTGTTGGTGGCAGACATGATTGGTTGCTTGGTTTGTTGTTTAATGCTGCACTCAGCAATATTCCAGCTATATGACAGCGGTCTGTAAATAATCGAGTCTGGACCAGACAATCCAGTGATTAATTTCATAAAAACCTCAATCCATGCAATTGGGATCGATGACATGCATCAACCAAGTCAGCAAGCCTGACCACCCGATCCCATTAGTCAGCTTTTACGGCAAGCATTGGTTGCTGAAGACCTATTCTACCCCGGATTTGTGGCAGACATGAACCACGGAGGACTGGACTCTAGAGGCACAAGCAATAACATAACACAAAATGTACCCCAGTGTTTACAGTTTACAAGAATTGTTTTCATGATATTTGAAAGAAAAGCCCATTTCAATTCAAACAGAATCCCACTCCTAGTAGAAACTATGTAAAATGATCACAAAAGTTCTATAATATGTATAAAGCTCACATACTGAAACACAATCAAGCAAGTTCATATTAACAGTTTCTAATCCACGGGACAGCAGGAATGTACTGTGTATATCTTATTGTTTTTGGTTTACAGACTGTTTTGAGAAATGTTTCTTAAGGTTGGTCATAAAAAACATATCAATAGAAGAGGTAGCTCTATAGTGACACCTCGACGACGAATGTTGAAATCCTCAAGCCAAACATAAGAATGAAAACTTTGTGATACTATGTACAGAAATGTTTATAATTATGACAATATTCAATATGTATGACTATTTAAGCTAAGCAGTTCTTAGCCGTGGTACAAACACATGAACACAGCTTGAAGGAGATGGATATGAACTCCAGCTCGAGGCAGGACTACAACTAGGTGGAAAAATGACAACTTTATCCCAATATCAGGATGAGTGAGTGAGTGAGTTGGATTTAATGCCGCTTTTAACAGTATTCCAGTTATATCGCGGCGTGACAGCTTAATGTGGGAGGAAAGCCCGAAATGATGCAGGTCTCAGACATTTACCACTTCGGTGAAACGAGCACGGACACGGTGCTGACAAACCTAGAAACATAATTGGGGCGAACCGGGATTCGAACCCACAATCATAGGTTTCTGGCGTACCCAGGGGACGCAACTCTGCACAGCGAATCGCGGCGCCTTAGACGACTGGGCCACCCGTGCCCCCCAATATCAGGATGATAAAACACTGACAACGGAAACACGTTAGTCCGGGTCAGGATAATTCACAACCAGATGCCTACTGTCAGGTTAGCGCTTCCGGGTAGAAATATGGACATATTTCTCAGTAACCATTGAGCAGTATACATGACGCAGATTAGCGATTTCTTTTCAATCTATGGTTCAATCAATTTGTATATACAAATAGAGAATCTCACCCGAGTGTCTTTTGATATCAAATATATCAACACGAGTTGATGAAAGTGGAAAAATTTCGAGGCTTGCCGAGGATTTTTGCCACTTTTATCAACGAGTGTTGATATATTTGATATCAAAAGACACGAGGGTGAGATTTTATTTATCATCCAACATCATTCTTCCAACCTTTTCAATTTGTAGACAGTAATTTGCAGTGTTTTCAGTGTAAAAAGTACGGCTAACAGCTTCAGTAGCAGAGCCATTAGTGATGTCATTTGATTGTGACGTCATGGTACCCAGTGACGTCACAATGGTCTGCAAAGCATTGTGATGTAATTTCATTGCAGCAATATCTACAGTGTAGATATCGCATGATCTAATTCAAGCGACATCTCCTGTGGGAGCCAGTTTTGGATGATAATTCACATTCTCATATGGTGAGTGAGTTTGGTTTAATGCCGCTTTGAACAGTATTTCAGTTATGTCACGGCGTGTCAGCTTGATGCGGGAGGAAAGCCCAAAGTGATGCAGGTCTCGGACGTTTACGACTTCGGTGAAATCCATGAGCAAGGATATGGTGCTGACAAACCTAGAAACATAATCAGGGCGGGTATAGGATTCAAACCCATGATTGCTTGGTTTGCCTCAGGGATGCAACTCTGCACACTGAATTGTGGTGTCTCAGACGACTGTGCAACCCTGATCGAATAAATCAGGCGCTATACATGTGATGTGTGTCGAGTTGCCCCTGTTTAATGAGTCATCTAGTGATGGTCAAAGACATCTACCATTTTGAGTATGGTGTCGACACACCCAGATCACAACTGGAGAATATGGGATTCAAACCCATGGCCAACTGACCCGGGCAGCTAAGGGAGACAACTCAATATACATGAAAATACAGATGTTTCAATTTCACGAAATGTTAACAATTTGAGCAAAAGCCAATTTGTTAGAGTGTTGCACTTCACTATATATCTGGACCAAATCAATGGGTCAGGATAACAAGGACAAGATATATTTACAGTCAACATGTTTGTGCAAGGTCCGGTGGGACTTGGTCAGTCAGTGGTCAGTCAGTGGTCAGTAGTTCATGCTGACCACACGTAGAAGTACACCCTCTGCCACGTAGGAAGGTACGCCAAAAGTGGTCCTGTGGAACAAACATCAGAATCAGTTACCATGGTAAACATCAGAGTTAGTGAGTATGGTTTTACGCCCCTTTTAGCAATATTTCAGCAATATCACGGCGGGGGACACCGGCGGGCTTCACACATTGTACCCAAGTGGAGAATCGAAACCGGGTCTTTGGCGTGACGAGTGAACGCTTTAACCACTAGGCTACCCCAAAATCAGAAGAGACTTGATCTGATAATCAGACAGTGTGCTATACATAACGTTAATACATCCTCGTTAGTGGTGGGGTTTGTATACACTATGTTCCCCAAACACACCTGAACTCAAACGGCCTCTCTGCAGTGAAGGTGCTATTTTTAAGATTACAAAGAGTGACAAATCAATCAAATATTTAGCCCTAAGTTTATGAGCATGCATGGTCGCATATTCTATGTGAAAATCGCAGTCTAAGTTGCTTGTACCAGCTGTGGAAACAGATATGGGTTTAGTGGGATGACATCTAGAGGGGGCATCTTTCTGAGGCAAGTAAGTTAACTGACTATTAAAGTTTCCACCCTTGCCGAACAAGGCTGGTATCAGGAGTTACATTTTGGCTGGACAAACGAGTCTATGCATAGTCCAATCAAAATCGGCAAAAAAATAAAAAATCCATTTTGTAAACTGTCATGCTGATTTCAGTCGATTGCAGGATTTGCAAAGAATTGCACTGCAAACTCGTTGTCAACAGATATTTTCTAAATCTTTTCATGTTTTTAATCAAGGTGCTCATGTGATTTGATGCAATGTAAGACTCGTTTTATCACAATATAGCTTGATTATTGATTATATTATTATTATATTATTGATTATTGATTAGATCATCTTGACTGGGTGCCGCCATTTTGTTTGATATGAGAGGTGGAATCTGATTGGTCCATAGGAGAGGCATAGAAGGGACATAACTCCTAATAGCCACTGGTGGTACTACGATCATCCCAGGAATTCCAGCCTAGTTCGGCAAGGGTGGAAACTGGACTCTTTAATTCAGGTAACTCTCTTGCCTCGGGAAGATGAGATGGGGTGGTTGGCACCCCTACTAATCAGCCTGGAATCCTGACAGGGGGTACATGAATGAAGGCCCCCCATTCTCCACACACTTACTGATGAGCAGGGAGGTGCCAGGAATGTTATCTGCCAGGATCTTCATCAGGAATATTATCTTAGCTCTGCAACACACAACCACACAAAGGAAATTATTTCTCTCAAATGGACAGTCTTCATCATACATGTCATGCAGACTATACAATTCATGCATCATCAGTAATGCAAAAGGAAAGGTGGTATGTGTTGAAAACTTGGGTTGAAAAAGGTTAAATGGGATGTGATTCTGAAAATCTTTTGGATATATCACTGAGTATTAATACTTTTCTTGATAACTGTAATTTATTTTCTAAATCACACATTTGAAAAATTGTGCCACTCAACTTGGAGAAATGGATACAACTCAAGAAACCTATCAGAACGACCTTGATTTGGCTGTTTTCACATTCTGCCATCTTGTCTCTTTGAATCAGAAGGGGATATAATCTAACCCGGGTCCACAAAGAGGTCACACACATTCTCAGGGAGCTATATTCGTGTGATGCATTCACCTGATGAAGGAGTAAACATATACTCCGAAACGTTGTGTCCCTCATAATAATGAAGTTGACATCCATAAATTCTCTTCCTTATTTGAAGTCAAATATTTTCTTGTGGTCTGCATTTTGAATGACCCCTGAGTTATCTCCCTTCCTCAAAGTTTGCATCTGGTTCAGTAGCATCCTTATATTCTTTAATGTGTATGTATATTTATTCGATTGTATCCTAATGTCAGTGTGGCCGTAGGAGGCCGGCTAGTTTGGGGCAATAGGGTCAGGGGTGTTCTTTAGTTCGAGAAGGCTCAGGACATTGACTTTGACGAGTGTTCAAATTGTCAGCTGATTGCTACTTGAGAATTGCCCTATTATGAATATAACACAATTACAAACAAGTATATGTACTCTGTGTTGAAGTAGGGAAGCACGTAGAGTGGATAATATCTCCTCATATACAATACATACTGTGAGTATCTGTCGTAGAAGGGAGACCTCAGAAGGTAGTAGAGCAGCATGAACGTCCTCCGGCGTAGTTCACTCTTCTCATTCTGGTTCAAGTCAGCTGGGTCTCCCATCATCGTCAAACTAAACACAGACAACAATAACATGTTGGAAATAAACATTATTTGAAGTCCGTCCATGAAATTGTCAGAATTTTCAATAACAGTCCTTCATTTCAAAGTTTGTTTGTTGTACAAGGCTACACTCAATATTCTAGCTATATGACGGCAGCCAGGAAGTAATGAAATCTGGACCAGACAATCCAATGATTGACATAATGAGCATCACTCCATTACTTTGGGAAAGATAACGTGCAATCAAAGTCAGTCCCCAGGCGTGGCCACCCAATCCTGCAGTCACCTCTTACAACAAGCATCAGATACTGCGGACCAGTAGTCTTACTCTCATTTCATAGGATTTTCAAAAGATGTAACAGTTGTTTGGAAATGTAGCAAATAGTGTTCTCTCATATACTGAAATGAGTGAGTGAGTGAGTGAGTGATGTTTTACGCCGCTTTTAGCAATATTCCAGCAATCTCACGGCGGGGGACACCAGAAATGGGCTTCACACATTGTACCCATGTCGGGAATCAAACCCAGGTCTTCCCCACCATCAGGCTACCCCACCGCCCCCATATACTGTAAAATAGTATATAATCAGATAATGAAAATAAGGTGTTGCAGAATTAATGAATGTGACAACCCCTAGATGAAAAAGCACCATGGAATTAATACAAATTTACCTACCAATCTCATTAATTGGCAAAAAAGTACAATGAATAAAGCGATGAGTATTAGCAATTTGCAGGACAAGCATAGGTTCTTGGGGAAACAATTTTAACCTGGAATCCCCCCATGGCCCTACTTGTCTAACAGTGTTGATAAGTACCACAACCAAAAGTCATCACATGATTACCAACAAAGAAATGTCTCACCTCGATATGTCCATCCCACATGAGATGAGCCAAGGTTTCCATGACGACAAGCCAAAGCCGTACAGACTAGCCACTGATACTTGTTAAGAAATACATGATATCATGAATATGTTGATATGACAGGAGACATGTTTTGTTTGTTTGTTTATTTGTTGTTAACCGCTGCACTCAGCAACATTCCAATATGACGGCTGTCTGTAAATAATCGAGTCTGGACCAGACAGTGAGTGAGTGAGTGAGTGAGTGAGTGAGTGAGTGAGTGAGTGAGTGAGTGAGTGAGTGAGTGAGTGAGTGAGTGAGTGAGTGAGTGAGGGAGGGAGTGAGTGAGGGAGGGAGGGAGGTTTTACCTAGCTATTAGCAATATTCCAGCAACATCACAGTGGACGTTGGGAGAAATGAGCTTCACACATTGTGCCCATGTCGGGAATCAAACCCAGGTCTTCAGTGTGACGAGCAAACACTTTAACCACGAGGTTACTCCACCGCCCCAACCATAACATGAAGTGGCAATTTTTTTCTTTAAAATTTGGGAATTTGTACTGACATTTGCTACAGATATCGGCATCTGAGGAGGTCTTGAGAAATCCCAGAGTGTATGCTCTTTTGAGACTGTGTTTCATTTCTGATGTCTTTACACATAGAGACAGGAGAAAATAATGCATTATTTAAACCAGGAATTATATTCAGCAATCATTGCACAAATGCAAGGAATTTTACAACGGATTGTAAATGAAAAGCCGTTAGATTCAAGGATACGATGGACAAGAGGCTTGACAATGTGCACTGTCTCAGCCCACACTCTCTGGCGTGACAAGGGAGTCGGGGCAAGATCCTCTCTCTTCCCACCCCGGGAGTCTGTCCCTGACTGGGTGGGGACGGACCAGTTCCGCATCCCCAGGGGAGGGGCTGCAACAGAACACACCCACCACATTACACATCATGTTTCACATCAAAACCACATTGAAGCCACTGAGATACTCAACTTCCACTTTCAATGATCTTTACACGAACCATGAAATTAGACAAAGATAAAAATGAAAGAGTGGAGTATAAAAACACTATAAATAAACAGTAATAACTGTCTAAGGATCCATTCAAATCACTATAGCCATGCTTTCAATTATTCCAAATACATGTCAGTGTTCGAAATTAAGCAAGAAAATCAAGAGATCCTTGTTATAACCCTAATGTTAGAAACCTAATTTCAGGGTGTCCCTTCTTTCCAAGTCTCATTAAGATCAGTTCTTTTACTCTCAAAGTCCCATATTATACTTCTCTGTTTGAAAAGAGGACATCTTGATAGGTCATCTCAGGCAAACTTTCAAATCAGCCAATCAGCATCAAGGCTTCTAAATTCTCAGTACCAGTATGTGAAACATTCAGACAAATGTATCTAATTTTTGCATCTCCAAAACATATACAATCAGGGAGTTCCAAATGCAAACTAAGAAAGCTGCGTTACTGTATTGTTGTGGATATGCTGTGCATCCTGTCATTTCTGAGTGCTATGACATCTACACCAAGAAGAGCCTATTATTGATGTTTTTTTTGATTGGTGAGTTTCTTCTTCAATGATCCAAATTTTTGAATCGGGGAGTAAAGAAATGAAGTCAAATTATTTCATAAAGCTGACATCTGATTGGCTCAAGAACCCACACATCCTTGATTTTGATTGGGCAGTTCACTCAGGGTTCACTGAAGCATCCTCCTATGGAGGTACATAAGATCTTTACGCAGAGGGATCGCACTGGAGTAAAGATCGGATCTCAAGGAGACTGCTTCATTCCAATACCAATGCAAATCATAAGGTACCCTGAATGCTGTTGTACAAAACAACCTTAGCACTACGACTGTCGTAAGTCTACGTTAAGGTATGGGAGTTACGACCACCTTAGCGCTAAGAACGCTTTGTACACCGGCACCAGGTCAATATCTAAACACAGCATACATGGGCTTGTCTTCTCAGACCCTTATCACCACTTGTAAAACCAGTTCTAAACAAGTTTGTTTGTTTGTTGTTTAACGCCACACTCAGCAACATTCCAGCTATATGGCGGCAGTCTGTAAATAATCGAGTCTGGACCAGACAATCGAGCGATTGGCATCATGAGCAACAATCCACACAATTGGGATACGATGACATGCATCAACTAAGTCAGCAAGCCTGACCAGCCGTTCCCGTTAGTCGCCACTAATGATGCTCACCAGCTGATATTTTCCTCATGACTTTTCCAGACCGTTTCAAGGTGAAGGTCATGGGAGCACTAAATCCGTTTTTGTATCCAGCTTCTCCGTGTGCGGAATCTTCCTGTAGAAACAACAAACAGGTAGGGTAAATATCATGGATGAGTATACACTACCTTCCTCTCTCACCCGTAAATACAAATGGCCGCTCTGTTGCATAGTCACAGCCAGGTTCTAGCGAGGGGGAAACCACACATCCTCAGAACAATCAGTGCTCTGATTGCATCACACAAACTAGGGGTGACTATTGGTCTGGAAATCACTATTGCGATAACTATTGATATTGAAAGAAACTGTTGCGATAACTATTGATATTGCAAGCAACTTTTGTGATAAATATCGATAGTTTTCTGTGTATTATTCTAGATGGATTTTACAGTTGAATTAAACCTTGGAACTGCAGTTTCCTTTGAATGTGATAACCATAACAACAAATAAAAAGTAAAGTTTGAGATATGACTGATTTGTTTTTCTTTACCCTAATGATTTAAGAAAAACAAACTTCCACATTACCATGTGTAAAATACTACCACTCATGATAAAAACAAATTTGAACAACATTGCATGTACAATCCAAACTATCGATATTCCTAGCTGAAATCGATACTATTGATCGGAAACTGATTTAACAATCGATTTATTAACTTTAAGTGCTTACCAACAGCAATATATCAATATTTCGATTTCTTGTGACACCCCTAACACAAACGGTACTATTTCCCATACAACATATGCAACAACCTTGCGTCCATCTACTCTGTACACTGCTTCTATATCAGGCAACTGCAGGTTTGCACGAAATCCATGTAAGGAAAACGGCTCATTTCTCATTTGTCTTCTTTGATGTCTGTGACCATGTAATTTCATCAGCTGATTAATAATGAACAAAGCTGCTGAATGTATCGATGGGTCATGGAGAAACATAGTGTACACAAAACCTATGATGTATTGACCATGCCCCTCTAGTTTCTCTTTTAACATCTAACCATTTGCCTGTTTGGTGTTTAACGCCACACTCAGCAATATTCCAGCTATATGACAGCAGTCTGTAAATAATTGAGTCTGGACCAGACAATCCAGTGATTGTTACCATGAGCATCGATCCAGCGAGCCTGACCACCCGATCCTGTTAGTTGCCTCTTATAACAAGCATAGTCGCCAAGCATGGGTTGCTGAAGTGAGTGAGTGAGTGAGTTGGGTTTAACGCCGCTTTTAACAGTATTCCAGTTATATCACGGCGTGTCAGCTTAATGTCGGAGGAAAGCCCGAAGTGATGCAGGTCTCACACGTTTACCACTTCGGTGAAACCCACGAGCACAGGTATGGTGCTGACAGACCTAGAAACATAATCTGGGCGAACCGGGATTCGAACCCACAATCATAGGTTTCTGGCGTGTCCAAGGGACGCAACTCTGCACAGCGAAACGCGGCGCCTTAGACGACTGGGCCACCCGTGCCCCCGGGTTGCTGAAGATCTATTCTACTCCGATCTTCACGGGTCACCATCTTACCAAGACAAACCGTCCTATAACTTAATTGGAGGCTATTTCAACAAGGGCACCAAGGCAGCATGATAACATAACACCATCATCATGCTTCTGATAAACAACATCAAATTACAAAGGATGACATCACACTATCACTATCACCACATCAGCTTGATATGAAAACAGCGCAAACCTCAAAAATACCATTTGGGTTCATAATCCGAATAGTTGGTGTTTATTCTGGGACTTCAGCTGTTGTGTTACCTGTTGTTAGCTGTTGTGTTACCTGTTGTTAGCTGTTGTGTTACCTGTTGTTAGCTGTTGTGTCAGGTGTTGTTATAATCTCATTTAAATCAGATCTGAGTTCTCACTACCAGTAGACAAAGGAATTCCCATTACACGTCACGTCAGACGGACTATTCGCAAATTTTGACAAACCAATGGAATGACCAACAAGAAGTCGACATAAGTCAATCTGAAGGCAACTTTCTTGTGCATTACGGTACTTGCTTCAAACTCGCGACTATGCTTTGACAATTTCTCAATTAAAAATTTTGATACTGGAACAAATGAACAATCTTGAATGACTAACAGATGGCCTAGATTGTATGGATTCAGTCATAAAGCCCGTAATTTTCACTCAGAATAGCCTGTGTTAAATCTTTAGGGGTTGCATTATCAGAAATCACACACCAACTGTCACTTTCATGACACTCTGATTGGTCAGATGAAAGGTCGTTCTGACTTGACCAGTAATGAGATGTCCTCAGACCTTCGTTTCGCGGTAGCGGGAACGAAGATCTGATTTTAATGCGATTGGGTGTTGTTACCTGTTGTTACCTGTTCTGTGTGCAGTTGTTACCTGTTGATAGCTGATGTTACCTGTTCTATGTGCCGTTACCTGTTGTTACCTGTTGATAGCTGATGTTACCTGTTCTGTGTGCCGTTGTTACCTGTTGATAGCTGATGTTACCTGTTCTATGTGCTGTTGTTACCTGTTCTGTGTGCCGTTGTTACCTGTTGATAGCTGATGTTACCTGTTCTATGTGCCGTTGTTACCTGTTGTTAGCTGATGTTACCTATTCAATGTGCCATTGTTACCTGATGTTACCTATTCAATGTGCCATTGTTACCTGTTGTTAGCTGATGTTACCTATTCTATGTGCCGTTGTTACCTGTTGTTACCTGTTGTTAGCTGATGATACCCATTCTGTGTGCTGTTGTTACCTGTTCTGTGTCCTTGTTCTTCTTGGAGACAAGTTGGCGATCCAGTGGCGCTATCGGCGGCGTGGGCTGGATGCCATGTTTGTAGGTGGCCAGTAAGTAGAAACGCAATGTGGCTCTGAAATAACACAGACAATCTTCGTGCACTTGGATGTGACAGTATTTCTTTTGAAAAAACTATTCCACATATTTTCTGCCACAGGGCATTCACAAATATGTTTAGCTACTGGGTATGCCCTTTTGAATTTAAGCGTGTCAACTAGAAGAATATATTTGATCAATCTTGAAATCTTGAGTGTGACACTGTCATTTCACCAACAGCTGAAGCTGAGACAGTCGACCCCTTTCCTTCCCACAAGAGTTGAGGTGAAATTGGGTTTAACGTCACGTCCAATATTATTGCACTTATATAGCGTCGTGCATACACGTGTATGTGTGTGTGTAGCTGCTTGTACTAGACCGGACTGATGCCGATTTATAGTGCTAGCTCACTGAGATACCATGCCGCAATTTAACATGAATACCCCACTCAGACACAGTATACTGACTCCGAGCCAACCAGTCCTTGTTTTAGCCCCTTAATGTCGAGGGCCAGACAGGGTAACAACAAGTACCATCTTTTAACGTCTTTTGGTATGACTCGGCCGGGGATCAAACCCCTGACCTTCCGCTCTCCGGGCAGATGCTCTACCACTAGACCACGGAGGCGGTCCCCTTCCCACAAGAGATTGATAATAGTACTAAAGTCATTTTGTGAATCTTACTGTGCAATACCACAGTTCAGCATTTTCTCAGTGTTTCTCTATGCATTTGTGTGATAGTACATTTATCATGACTGTCACTATATTTATGTAATAAAGAATATCAAAAGGTACTGTTGCTATAAAATCAGATTAACTGTGCCATTATTCGTTTGTTTGTTGTTTAATGCTGCACTCAGCAATATTCCAGCTATATGACGGCGGTCTTACATAATTGAGTTCGGACTAGACAATCCAGTGATTGACATCATGAGCATCGATTCACGTAATTGACACTCGCCTCTTATGACAAGCTAGTCTCCATTTAAGGCAAGTATGGGGTGCTGAAGACCAATTCTACTCCGGATCTTCACGGGTCAACCGTACCATTAGGACCATCTAAAGTCAGATCAATCTAAACACTTCAGCGACATCAAGAGAGTTAACTGACTGAAAAAGTCCAGTTTCCACACTTGCCGGCTTGACTGGAAAAATGGAACATATTTTGGCTGGACTAACAAGTCTATGCATAGTCCAATCAAAATCGTGTAACGAAAACGACATCGGGTTCGTTTACTGGCTTGCAGATATCAGTCGATTGCAGGATTTGGTATCGTCAACTAAGCGTCAACAGATATTCTTTTCAAGTTTTTAAACAAGGTGCTCACGTGATTTGATGCACATTGTGAAGTAAAACCCTTTTTATTACAATAGAGATCATGATTATTGATCAGATCATCTTCACTGGGTGATGCAATTTTGTTTGAAGTAAAGGGATATGAGTGTCAACAGATATTCTCCAAATCTTTTTCAAGTTTTTAAACAAGGTGCTCACGTGATTTGATGCACATTGCGAAGTAAAACCCTTTTTATTACAATAGAGATCATGATTATTGATCAGATCGTCTTCACTGGGTGATGCAATTTTGTTTGAAGTAAAGGGATATGAGTGTCAACAGATATTCTCCAAATCTTTTCAAGTTTTTAAACAAGGTGCTCACGTGATTTGATGCACATTGCGAAGTAAAACCCTATTTATTACAATAGAGATCATGATTATTGATCAGATCATCTTCACTGGGTGATGCAATTTTGTTTGAAGTAAAGGGATATGAGTGTCAACAGATATTCTCCAAATCTTTCAAGTTTTTAAACAAGGTGCTCACGTGATTTGATGCACATTGCGAAGTAAAACCCTTTTCATTACAATAGAGATCATGATTATTGATCAGATCGTCTTCACTGGGTGATGCAATTTTGTTTGCAGTAAAGGGATATGAGTGTCAACAGATATTCTCCAAATCTTTCAAGTTTTTAAACAAGGTGCTCACGTGATTTGATGCACATTGCGAAGTAAAACCCTTTTATTACAATAGAGATCATGATTATTGATCAGATCGTCTTCACTGGGTGATGCAATTTTGTTTGAAGTAAAGGGATATGAGAGGTAGAAGCTGATTGGTCTATATGAGACACAGAAGGGACATTACTGGTAATAGCCACTGGTGGCACTACGGTCAAGCCCAGAAACTCCAGCCTTGGTCAGCAATATAGTCAGTTAACTCCCTTGCCTCGATGAATACAAAATCCTGACAAAGCAAAGGCCCACATCCCGTGATGTCAGTGTGATCAGGGTCAGTGGGTCACATGTACAATGTTGTAGGAACGTAGGAACCTACTTGCATATCTGAATGGTTGCTATGACGATCCACTTCCCTGCTTCCCCCCAAAGTTTGTTGGCAGCGACCTCAACAAAGACCTCGACATACTCCAACACCGTCAACAGCTGCCCGAGACGCTCTTGAGACACACTCTGAAACAAACACATCCAGCATATATAATATATAACACAAAGGATAAAATGTCAGCTGCCAAACTCATCACAAGTGTACATGATGACAACATCGATAAATAGACAAAGTCTACATCCCCCTACTACCAGCTGATTACATGTGATTGACTGAAATAATCAAAGACTGATTGGAAGGTCCAAACGACCAAGCATTTGAACGCAAATTTTCAATACCGTATTCGATGTAATAAGCGTCCAGGGAGCTCTCAAAATTAGAAATAGGGGGCTCTTATTAGAAAACAATTTTGTTAAAAAAAAAAACAGAGTTGAAAGATCGTAAATTTCATGGTTTACGCTGACAGCCTGAAATGTTTATATATGACAGATATAAGTTTCCAGAATTTAACTGCCAATAATTAAGGGTGCATATAACACACAGGTGCGTATTATACACAAATAAATAAGTCTTATGTACATTGATCAATTGGAAGGGGTGCAATTGGGATTGTTTGTTTTCAAATAACGAATTTTATGTGTTTAATGTACCTGAAGCGTGCATCTGGAGCATGCATTCGTGTGCAGTTATTGAATGAGGAAACATCATTTTGTACCAACATCTTGTTTTGTTCTAACTATGAACTTTCATTCATACACTGGTTTTTCAAATTGATTCTGAATTCAAAATTATGAATTATACAATATAATGTGATACATATCGCAATACGGCCTTGTGCATCGTAAAATATTGTGATTCACTTTAAACCTCCAATACCCATCCCTACAAATAAACATACAGAACTTACCACTTTGGGAATAATCTTGGCTGTTTGTTTGAGTATGGCATCGTTGAGAAACACCAGCAAGTTGGAAGACGTGTACATCAGCTCGGACAGAACCTGGGCATTGCGCAGTCGACCTGTGCACAACAGAGTTTCATAAACACAATGGTCAAATATTAGCCTTCTTCCTTTACAAGCTTATACTAGGGTTATCACGTTTGAGTCATGATACAAAACCTCCCAATACTTAATCTGCCCCGATTATGTATAAAAGTCTCCATGCTCCATGTGGCCTGGCTAACATGAGTGAGTGAGTGAGTGAGTGAGTGAGTGAGTGAGTGAGTGAGTGAGTGAGTGAGTGAGTGAGTTTAACACCGTTTTGAACAGTATTCCAGTTATATCACGGCGTGTCAGCTTAATGTGGGAGGAAAGCCCGAAATGATGCAGGTCTGAGACATTTACCACTTCAATGAAACCCACAAGCAAGGGTATGGTGCTGACAAACCTAGAAACATAATCAGGGCGAACCGGGATTCGAACCCACAATCATAGGTTTCTGGCGTGCCCAGGGGACGCAACTCTGCACAGTGAATTGCAGTGCTTTATACAACTGGGCCACCCGTGCCCCCCTAACATTAGTGAGATGAGGGTAACCTGTCAACCAGTTTGTGTTGTTGCATGTGACTGGTTAACTGAGACATGTTCTTATTGTGTTAACATTAATGCAATCAGATTTTGCAATATTTTTCGGCAATAGGTTCAGAGGTAATGCTTGCACTAGTAATGATCAGAATGGGTTATTGCAAAACTTTGTTGACATTAATTTTTTGAAAATCAATTTCAAAACATGAATCGTTTTTTGCATTTTACCTCAAATTGAACATAATAGAAGTCCCAACAATTACATCTTGACACAATCTGGCAAACGTTTATAACTATCAATCTTTTAGAAAAATTCAAATTGATTGCATGTCTCACACTAGTCTATGTTGTAAAACTTGATGACATGACAACGTCTCCACGCAAGATGTGTCCAAAGATGGTCAAATTTAAGTGTTGTCATCTGAAACAGCTTTCTAAATCAACCAAGACTGAGACAATCAGCCAGAATTGGAGACCAGACATGGTCCAGAGGAAGAATTAAGGGTATGCCCTCATTTCAATGATGAGCCTACTCAATGTTTGTTTGTTGTTTAACGCCGCACTCAGCAATATTCCAGCTATATAACAGCGATCTGTAAATAATCGAGTCTGGATAAGACAATCCAGTAATTGACAACATAAACATTGATCCATGCGATTTGGATACGTTTACATGCATCAACCAAGTCAGCGAGCCTGACCACCCGATCCCCAACACAATACAGACAGAACTAACAATAGTTTATTCCATATACATGATATAGGCTGAAGGAAAAATAATAACTAAAATACATTATGTGTATGTTTGTAGCACGGACAGACTGTAACTTGATCATGTAGATTGTTAACAATGTTACACTTAGAAGGTCCCAGCTGTATAATCTGGTAAAGTGAACTTTGTATAGTGGATAAAAAAAATCGTTTATTTATTAGTTTTAACACAAAATGTCAATGGCCATTATGATTATTTACTATAGTTGTGCAGGCACAAGATTAAGCATCAGGTACTGTTAAATTGAAATATTCACTTTAAACCGCATTGAATGATAAAACGAATATTGCCCCCAAAACAAAACGAAACGAGCAAGTGTTCAAAGGTTGTGGAAACTAGGCCAGACAAAAGTTCGGTCTGCCTCGTATCTGGTAATTACACGACTCCTACAATGTGTGACAGGCAGTGACAATCTCTTTACCTGCAATTACATACGATAACAAACGGAATGTCGTCTCAACCTGACCCACCGTGTCAGGATTTTCACGAACATTCCGTTTGTATTTTTCACAGACGTTCTTCAACAACTCCGCCATGTCCCTTCTGCAGTGACGAGCAGTGTTTGAAACGTCAATATTCATTTGTTGTTTCCATGATTTGTAACCAATCAGAATTCGTGTAACATCTGCAGGCCATGTAAAGTACAGTTTCCTCACAGTGTTTCAGGTATCGCTATACCATATGTACACCTATACAAACACTGACTAGAGCTAAAACAAGTATCTGGACGTATTAACCGGACGCAATTAACATGCAAATGTGATTTTGTCCAAAAGTTGACTTGTTTTACGAAACAAAGTTTGTTCAAATTTGTTACACGCGCGATGGACAATAAAAGTGGTCAGTTTATTAGAATTGTACTTAGTACGCCAACATTTAAAACCCCTGAATATATTTACTGAATAATGCTTGCTTTAAAGATTGGCATGTAAAAACAAAGTTTCTTCAATGTTTGAATGGCAGTTGGAAGTGACAGATCCACACATACATGACCAAAGAGAGAATTTATGAATGTTATGTGTTCCTCATAATAAAGAAGTTTACATCTACAAATTCACTGTTACGCTTTCTTTAAGCTTTGAAATTGTAAATTATGTCTATAATTATAATACAATACTTGTGGTTCCAGGTCAGATGAAATATTGTTATTGTCGCCACTAGGAAGCCAAAATCATTTTAACTTATTCTCAAAGCCATGATGCTTCCTAAAAACTCAGTTTGATCAGAGACCATATAATAGATGTCTGGTTTGATCAGGGAGTTTAGTCAATACTATACTACCTGGTTAAATACGCAGTTGTCCTCAGCTATATATTTTCGAATCAGTGTATCCATGGACTCTAAGTATTAAGTATCTATGATGATACAGATTTACCCTGTAAGATAAATACTAGTATGAACGCGGGAATTTAGTTTGACGTTCAGTTCGTTTCAGGCCTGGAAACACATTTGTTAGTTTATAAAACTCATTAACACTACTGTTCCGGGTTTTTGCATGATCGATGTAACGTCACGTTTCATTGGCTAAAGTCATGTTGACAAAGAAAGATAACCACTACTCCTCTTCTTCAGAAAAATGAATCAATAGTAATTTCTATATTCTATACCTTATGCACTTTTGCAGTAAGTAACCACGCTGATGGAGATACATTTGTACTTTACGTTCCAAAACAATAATACATGCGATGCGATCACCAGTGATAAAATGATAAAAAAACAACGGCAACAAAATTGCCAAGACACCTATTTTCGATGTATCATCGTTCTGCTCATGTGACAATGACTTGAAAGAATAGAAGTTTCAAAATATATCTCAGTATTCGAGGAATAACCGGGGACATCATTGTCTAGTTTTACAAAGATATTCACAGAACAATTAATATTCGAATCAATATGAAAATTTATAAATGCCTTTCTGATAACTCTTTTTCACTTGACATGTTTACAGACCAGAGAATTACACAGTCAAGTATTGGGGACATGTCAACTATCACAAGGATGTTGCAATTTGCAGATGCTGAGATTTGAGCCCTTCCAAAGGTAGATCTGCTTTAGTTTGCTGTAAACATTAACACTAATAACAGAGCATGGGTGCTGGAGAAAATGGCCCCGGACAATTTGGAGTGAAAATGGCCACAAATTTTGGAGAAAATGAGTCCATTTTTTTAGAAACAAACTGACACAAATCTCTGGTGTTTTAGTTAAATTACGTATATCCAGTTGGCCATCGTCACAACTGGTTATCCAGGATAAGTTGAACCAACTCGCAAAATGTGTTTGAGACAAGTTGGCAGTGCACAGAATTTGGGCAAACATATATGGTTTGTCACAGATACAGAGAGTGTACACATGTTGTGTACGTTCAGGTCATGATGATGAAATTGACTACGCTCCAGTGGACACGTGCATTGCTAATAAGTCTAAGAGGTAAGCATGACCAAATCATACATTATCAGGCTCGAGAATTGCACTGTAGTCATGATAATGTCCTAATTACATGGAGAAAGACCCGTGAAGATCCGGGGTAGAATAGGTCTTCAGCAACCCATACTTGCCATAAAAGGCGACTATGCTTGTCTTAAAAGGTGACTAACGGGATCGGGTGGTCAGGCTCGCTGACTTGGTTGATGCAGGTCATCGATCCACGCAATTGGGATCATGATATCAATCACTGGATTGTCTGGTCCAGACTCGATTATTTACAGACCGCTGTCATATAGCTGGAATATTGATGAGTGCGGTGTAAAACAACAAACCAACCAACCAATATGGAGAAAGAATGTAGAAATATATCTCAAGTTTCGTCAAAAGCTAGAGTTGCCACTGGTCTGTCTGTGTACACGCTAAAACGCATCAGAATTTAAAGACTGGTGCTAGGATTATCCACTTTTCTTAGTATAAATCCAGCTAGCAATATTACGTTTACTGTATGCTGAAACCCCATAAACAATCACATAGGATTAATTAAGGCGTATGTCATTGATACAACTATCACCACGTTAAGGTCTCAACCTTCACAATCATTTGGTGAATGACATGACACTATTCATTATTGCTCTCTGGGGTAAAAAATATATTCCATTTTTACAACAAATAAATTCCCTTCATTGTCGCATTACTTCTCAATTCTTGTTATCCATGCAAATTTACTGTCACCATTTTCACAGTCATGGTGTACCTCACACCCGCACTTACTAGTATGTGCTTTTGAACTCACCACTAGAACTTGTAAGCTGAGACAGGACATGCACATATCCATCATACCACATGTCGCAGACCACCCACCACCCCTTACTTCACAATGGTATGCGCCACTGGGCAGACCACCAACCACCCCTTTCTTCACAATGGTATGCGCCATTGGGCGGACCACCCACCACCCACCACCCCTTCCTTGACAATGGTATGCGCCACTGGGCGGACCACCCACAACCCCTTTCTTCACAATGGTATGCGCCACTGGGCAGACCACCCACCACCCCTTTCTTCACAATGGTATGCGCCACTGGGCGGACCACCCACCACCCCTTCCTTGACAATGCTATGCGCCACTGGGCGGACCACCCACCACCCCTTTCTTCACAATGGTATGCGCCACTGGGCGGACCACCCACCACCCCTTTCGTCACAATGGTATGCGCCACTGGGCGGACCCCATACAGTCATACACTGTTAATTGTTGGACCACACCTCAGCTTATCCTGGCTAGCCAGTAGGTTCGTCTTATTCTCCCTTGCCCTCGGTGGCATGTCTGCGTGTACATGCCACTGTATCCTCAACAATGCTGCCCCCAGATACATGCAGGATGTTTGTGGCCTTCTGCTTGATCCTAAAAAGATGTAAATGTTTTATTAAAAAAAAGTATGCAGATATTAATTAATTAACTTCAATTATCTTCAATTATCTTCAATTAACTATAGTTAACTTCAAGTAAGTTCTTAAATGTTGATCAGTATCAATTAATCACCTCACAAAGAAGCAATAATTATTATGCTCCATAAGCAAAGGAATTAATTATTCTTATTAATCCTGTTAAGTGAACTTGCTGATTCATCCTGTTTAATTGTGACCACTTCTGCTGTAGTTGAGCTATTGTTACCACTACACTTCCTTGCACCACTACCAGCTAGGCTCTGTGACATAGATGAGGGGCTCTGATCCTGTTGTAATTTTGTACCCTGCTTGTATCACTGTAGCATGTCATCCTCTCACCCTACCTATGTGCCGCCAGCATGTCTTACAACCAGATTTCTTCTATAACATCAATAAAGCGTAAAATGAAAAAATATGTTACGTGACATTAAGATAGAATTAGGTGAAGTAGTTGTGCGCAGAAAAAAATTACACCGTACCCCTTCAGCGAAGTCCGGCAAACAAACGGGTGATGAGAAACTTCGTCAGTACAAATTCGAAATTTGAGATAAAAAAATCACCAGACATGTTGATTTACCGTTTAAATTGTATTTTTTGTTCAGCTAGGCATCGTTTTATATCCAGGGATTAAGATTACCTTGTGCATTTTCTCGTAAACTAACCCGGAAACAGCAATCAGCTGTACACACGTTTTCTTGGAATCTACCGGTGATTCGGTCAAGACACACCCAATGATATAACTTTACAGGATTTTAAATGCAAGGATCGGCAAAAGTTGTATCTGAAACTATTTTTTTATCAGGAATAATATATTCCACTATCTTGTTAATTTAGATGAAGCTTTTACTAAACATATTTAAAATAATAATAACCCTAAGCGAAGCAGCTGATCTATTGCCGGGTATTATTTTTTACATTGAACCAGTCTGACCAGTCACCGTCAAGGCTCCCGTGCCCATGATCGCGAGAATTACGTGTTGACATAGAATCGTCCAACAAAAACAAATATGACTTTTAACGAATCAAAGTATGGCATTTATGATATATGTATCCATTCTCTGTCAACTTAAGTTTGTTTCAAGGCGTCAATAGCGGTAATCTGACCGTGGTTGCTGTTAATAACGGTGAGTTGTGCGATCTTCCGATCGCTTCACACACGATTTCGCCGAAATTAATTAAAACAATATTAAAAGGAATTTTGAATAAAATTAATGAAATAAGTTACAAACAAAAGTTCAGATATACAAAGAACACTTTTTATAGCCAGACAGTGTAATTACATGAATAATTTGCGAACTTCAGTATGGATTTGTTGACATGGTATTTCCGGTGTTACGTGCTCACAGTAATGTCTTTCCATGGGGGAAAAAACATCAAAACTCATTAATTCTTGTATAATGCGCACCCTCTTCTACACAGCTGTGTTTTTGGAAAAAAGTGCGCTCTATTCTCAAGAAAATACGGTAAGGCTTACTGATGAATTTACGCCAATTTGACTCTGAATTGGTCCCAATAAGCGCCCACCCCTTCTGTCTTTTTTTAAGGGCCCTGGGCGCTTAATGGGTCGAATACGGTAACTGGAATACTGTTCAAAGCAGCGTTAAACCAACCTCGCTAACTTACTCATGTCTCCCTTCTTCTTCGATCCTGGTATGGAAACATCCTTGAACAAAGAACACACTAGAGGTGTTTTTTCAAGCTGGAAAGTTTGTGCTAGGACGTTTTCACACAAAGAAGAGAACAGAAGAGTGTTAGATAGGATAAGTATATAAATATACTCTATATTGTAAAATCGTCAGTTAATAATGTGAAATGGGAGCCAAGGGTCTCATATAACAATTGTATCAACCAACTAAGTTTTATTTGGGACCACTTTCGGTGTCATTTTTTCCATACCATGGGGCCATTTTCTCCAGATTGTCTAAGACCATTTTTACATGGGGCCATTTTCTCCAGATTGTCTAAGACCATTTTTACATGGGGCCATTTTCTCCGGATTGTCTGGGACCATTTTTACATGGGGCCATTTTCTCCAGATTGTCTGGGACCATTTTGACATAGGGCCATTTTCTCCAGATTGTCTGGGACCATTTTGACATAGGGCCATTTTCTCCAGATTGTCTGGGACCATTTTTACATGGGGCCATTTTCTCCAGATTGTCTGGGACCATTTTTACATGGGGCCATTTTCTCTATAAGCCACAGAGTATAATGTAATATTCAATCACATAACATCCCAGTGTGTTGGAATATAACATGTTCAGAAAAAACTGCAGACAAATATGTCAGACCCACTGCATGAATCCTTTTATTGAAATATAAATCAGGCATCATTCACATTCCATTGTGATTCATGTCAACAGGGAGTTCAGGACCTGTGAAGCAATTATCAGAATAATATGACAATGTAGCAGCTGGACTCAGGCAAAACTGCAGTCCTAGCAAATTTTGGACTCTCAACAAGCTGCAAGGGATGGTCCTATGCTCCAGTGCAATCTGACAATGACTGTATAATTTCAATTACTTGCTGATGTTTTCTCACATGTAAATTTGTAACCGACTAGACAGATATGGTATTGGCAATTCATCCAATCTGAAGGCTCACACCTAGTCCGGTAGATTAGTACTGCCCGACATGGTCAGTCATAAGGCATGATCACGATACAGCCTAAAAGCCTGGCAAATCATGGAAGAGACTTTAAAGACGGACAACATGCAGGTTGAAATATAACATGCTTATTAGATATGTATTTTGTTCATATGTGAGTACAAACTGAATCAAGGTCACACCTGTATATTTTTTGGCTTATACATTTTTTGCTCACCTGCTTGGTGAGGAGGTCAAAATAACAATTGTGTGGATGGACAGACAGACAGACAGACGATGAACAAACTGACGGACAGACAGTTTATTCAGTTAAAAGGCCATAGGCCCATAATACAGACAGTGTTTTGTTGCATGAACTATGCATGCCAATGTAATAATTGATTAAGTTTCTCTTTGCCTTTGGACTTTATGTCACTATAAGCAAGTGTTATACATACCGTATTCGACGTAATAAGCGCCCCGCTCTAATAAGCGTCCACGGCGACATTTGCTAAGACATTAGCCAGTGAACAATCCCAATTAGCACCCCTCCCGATTGATCAATGTACACAAGACTTATTTATGTGTGTATAATACGCACTCGTGTGTTATATGCACCCTTAATTATGGGCATTTAATTCTGGAAAAATATATCTGTTGTACATAAACATTTCAGGCTGTCAGCATTAACCACGAAATTTATCTTTCAACTCTGTTTTTTTTCACCAAAATAACATTCTAATAAGAGACCCCTTTTTCTAATTTTGAGAGCCCCCTGGGCGCTTATTACGTCGAATACGGTGTCTATATATACAACATCAAAGCTTTCATATAAATAATTTCAGTCAAAGAATTTACAGTTTGAGACTTGATCTGGTGTTTAGAGCTGAATAACACTCACAAACAAGCGATGCATGGAGTTCATCTTTAATAAACCATTTTCTATACAATATTTACATTATCGTTCAGTGTATGGGACTGTTGTGTATTTTCCTCAATCAAGTGCAAGTTTAAACCTGCTACATTTGAAACAAGTCCTACTTTTTCTTAGATGAACTTGATCAGGGAGTGTAAGATATTTTTCTACATTTAATTTGGGTTTAAAATGTTTATCATTAAGGGTGTCAGATGTACTATAGATGGAACTACACCATTATTGTTGAAGGTTATCAAATAATCTTTGTTAAAATAGATGAATAAATATCTTCACATTGCCAACACCTTGTGTTATCCAAATATATACAAATTCTAATGTAAGCAAAATAGTTTGAACATGATTAGCCCATGTGGTGTGACCAGAACCGTCTAGTGATTTAAACATTTCATAGAATTAGCGAGGCAGTCTGTGATCACCAAAGTGCAGTAACCTGCACGATCATCAAGTGCAGTAACCTGCACCAGTACTTGATGGCCCTTGTGGTATACACAAGCTGGAGAGGGGCTCTACCACGCTCTCCCAGAACCATAGCATTGTTTGTTATTTTACCTGTTTTATGAAACCATTTTCACATGTTATTCTTTACATTTTCACTAATTTCTCAATGTGAAGTGCCCCAATTGTGTAGTTCAATATGTATGATATGTCCGTAACGGTATTATTACTGTGCATCCTTTGGGATGCAGTATATTTTTTCGCGTCATCCATTCTCTACATTTGTGAGTGAGTGAGTGAGTTAGGTTTAACGCCGCTTTTAACAGTATTCCAGTTATATCACGGCGTGTCAGCTTAATGTGTGAGGAAAGCTCGAAGTGATGCAGGTCTCAGACGTTTACCACTTCGGTGAAACCCAAGAGCACTGGTATGGTGCTGACAAACCTAGAAACATCATCGGGGCGAACCGGGATTCGAACCCACAATCATAGGTTTCTAGCGTGGCGGGACGCAACTCTGCATAGCGAATCGCGGCGCCTTAGAAGACTAGGACACTCGTGCCCCCCTACATTTATGCATCATGTCCAACCCTGCTTCTGTTAAACTTATCTCAGTTGAGATTTATTTGTCATATTTGTCGAAGAAGAAAATCAGGAATTTTCTCAAAAATCAGATTTGAACATTTAACCAAGTTACATGTAAGGCTTAATTAAATAAAAGAATTGGTTCTCAGACTTTTGACAATATAGTGCGGGAGGGAGGTGGTTTCTCTTTTTTTTTGCTTGATCAAACTAGTAGGTGACCAAATAAACAATTGTGTACCATCAACCTAGGAAAGGGCCTCTTTACATAAACAAGCATACAAACTCCTATTGCGCCATGACCATAAGACGAGATGCACAGTCAACTAGTGCGCACGTAAAGGGAAGTAACTGTTTGCTTTATTGGATCGATATATTTTAAGTATTAAGATATTTTTAATTTTTAAAAATGGAAATTAAAACGAAACGTGTGGCAGACTTTATGATGATGTGGGCGGTGCCTGAGAACCAGGACTATTATTTTTTTTAGCCTAAAGAACAATCAACTCTCAACAGCTGTTCTTCTGTCTGATGTGTTGTTGCAGATGTTGTAATGTGTTGTTGCAGATGTTGTAATGTGTTGTTGCAGATGTTGTAATGTGTTGTTGTAGATGTTGGTGCGGCTGAAGAAGAAGCTGCTGCTGCTGACACTGATCCTGGGTGCCGTGCCTGTCATCCTCATGCTGTACCTCGTTATTAGCACAGATGGTGAGAGATGCCTTTCCGTGTCAGTAGATATTGTTTTGAGTTGTGTCCCTTGGGGCATGACAGGAACCTATGATCATGGGTTTAAAGCCTAGATTCAGCCTGATTATAATTTATGTTTTTGTTGATGTCACACCCATGCTCATGTGACCTGTGAAGATCAGGGGTAGAATAGGTCTTTAGCAACACATGCCTGCTGTAAAATTCAACTCTGCTTGTCGTAAGAGGCAACTAACAGGATCGGGTGGTCAGGCTCGCTGACTTGGTTGATGCATGTCATGGCATCCCAATTGCGTGGATCGATGCTCAGGATGTCAATCACTGAATTGTATGGTCCAGACTCGATTATTTACAGACCGCTGTCATAAAGCTGTAATATTGCTGAGCAGTTAGGGTGGCCTCTTGCCCACGAGGCAATTCAATTCCCATAACTCTGTGTAGAGTGTGGCGTTTAACATGAGCAGACATGATGGTATATAGATTGACTAGAAAGTTTTGAGAATTTTTCATACCATTTTGGCCATCAATATTTACCATATCAAAGGGGTATTTATTACTTGCCCGTGAAGAGATCACCTGTTTTATAAAAATAAAGCTGTATTACACATTGTGTAATAGCAAAGCGCGTGCTTATATACTGCGGGAATAAGTTCCACTAACAAACATTGAAAGCTCTCAGCATCACTTGGCTTATTCAACATCATTGCTTTCGCTCGTCAAATACCAGAACTATTCACTTGTTTCATAAAATTGGTATTACACGGGAGCTCGTTTAGTATTCTATATGTAGAACCTATGGCGACTTTGGTTCAAGGGAGACAACTCCACATGTCATATTTATCAAGTATGACCAGAGTTGTCTCCCTTGGTAAACAAGCTCAAAGATGGCAAACAAGACCACTGTGGAAATGGCAGCATTGGAAAAGAAACAACAAACATTATTTCTGAATAACTCAATCAAGGAATCAGATCAGCCTAGGTCATTACAGTGAGAACCGACATTCCACTGTCAACAGTGTACAGTGTTTTGAAAAATATTGAGAGCGGAAATGGAATTGAGCACAAAAAGGGATCAGGTAGGCCAAAGAAACGACCATTGGTGCTGACATGTGTTCAAATCATATGCTCATTAGATGAGAAAGGTCTGTAAAGAACTACCCCATTAAGTCAGTCACAATGACAGCCCGTCGTAATACATTTACATCAAGTACAAGACGTCAAAATGGCCGACACGATAAACGTGACGGGAGAGATTTCCGAAGTTCTTAATGAACATGTGGCAGGTACATGTGTTAGTCATCATTGATCAACTGGCCGATCATTGAAAGGTGAATAAAGATGCGTCAAACTGACACTAAGGTAAATTCATAGATTGCTGGAGACGGTCAATGTCAGCCTAGGCACGGATTGAGTCGATACTACGATAGTTTAGATGTGCATTTGTTAATTTGTTCATTAAGATACGCCGCAGAGAGGATATTTGTGAACAATCATGCAGTCACGCTCTCTGACATTTCTCAGTGTACACTGAAATGCTGAGACCAAGAATAAAGGTTCTAAATGATCAGAAAGAACGCTTATGTATGTTTTCATGCTAGGGAATTCCCAGGGGTTTCCCCAGGAATGTGGAAGTAGTCCCTCAGTGTTTACGTCATTTCAAGAACACGATCTCGTGAAAAACGTATGAACGTCAAATTGTGTCGTTCATATACTTATGAACGTCAATTTCGCGGTCATGTGACCGACCTCTCGTCCAATGGAAAAGCTGTATATCGTGGAAACTTCAAATTAAAAAATTATTATTTAGTGTGTCCTGTTTGTGTCCTGCTGTATGTGTGAACTCTGACCTCTGTGACAGATCCCTACAGTGGAGGGGGAAGTGCCGGGCAGCTGGAGACGAGGCTGGCCGAGAGGGTCAACAGTGTGGAGGAGCAAAACAGACTGCTGAGAAAACAACTCAGGTAACACCTTGTCAATACACACACCTCGTTAATACACAGTGTGGAGGAGCAAAACAGGCTGCTGAGAAAACAACTCAGGTAACACCTTGTCAATACACACACCTCGTTAATACACAGTGTGGAGGAACAAAACAGGCTGCTGAGAAAACAACTCAGGTAACACCTTGTCAATACACACACCTCGTTAATACCCAGTGTGGAGGAGCAAAACAGGCTGCTGAGAAAACAACTCAGGTAACACCTTGTCAATACACACACCTCGTTAATACACAGTGTGGAGGAGCAAAACAGGTTGCTGAGAAAACAACTCAGGTAACACCTTGTCAATACACACACCTCTTTAATACACAGTGTGGAGGAACAAAACAGACTGCTGAGAAAACAGCTCAGGTAACACCTTGTCAATACACACACCTCTTTAATACACAGTGTGGAGGAGCAAAACAGGCTGCTGAGAAAACAACTCAGGTAACACCTTGTCAATACACACACCTCGTTAATACACAGTATGGAGGAACAAAACAGGCTGCTGAGAAAACAACTCAGGTAACCTTGTCAATACACACATCTTGTTAATACACAGTGTGGAGGAACAAAACAGACTGCTGAGAAAACAGCTCAGGTAACACCTTGTCAATACACACACCTCTTTAATACACAGTGTGGAGGAGCAAAACAGACTGCTGAGAAAACAACTCATCTAACACCTTGTCAATACACACACCTCTCTAATACACAGTGTGGAGGAGCAAAACAGACTGCTGAGAAAACAGCTCAGGTAACACCTTATCAATACACACACCTCGTTAATACACAGCGTGAAGGAGCAAAACAGACTGCTGAGAAAATAACTCAGGTAACACCTTGTCAATACACACACCTCGTTAATACACAGTGTGGAGGAGCAAAACAGACTGCTGAGAAAACAGCTCAGGTAACAACTTATCAATACACACACCTCGTTAATACACAGCGTGAAGGAGCAAAACAGACTGCTGAGAAAACAACTCAGGTAACACCTTGTCAATACACACACCTCGTTAATACACAGTGTGGAGGAGCAAAACAGACTGCTGAGAAAACAACTCATCTAACACCTTGTCAATACACACACCTCTCTAATACACAGTGTGGAGGAGCAAAACAGACTGCTGAGAAAACAGCTCAGGTAACACCTTATCAATACACACACCTCGTTAATACACAGCGTGAAGGAGCAAAACAGACTGCTGAGAAAACAACTCAGGTAACACCTTGTCAATACACACACCTCGTTAATACCCAGTGTGGAGGAGCAAAACAGACTGCTGAGAAAACAACTCAGGTAACACCTTGTCAATACACACACCTCGTTAATACACAGTGTGGAGGAGCAAAACAGACTGCTGAGAAAACAACTCAGGTAACACCTTGTCAATACAAACACCTCGTTAATACACAGTGTGGAGAAGCAAAACAGGCTGCTGAGAAAACAACTCAGGTAACACCTTGTCAATACACACACCTCGTTAATACACAGTGTGGAGGAGCAAAACAGACTGCTGAGAAAACAACTCATCTAACACCTTGTCAATACACACACCTCTCTAATACACAGTGTGGAGGAGCAAAACAGACTGCTGAGAAAACAGCTCAGGTAACACCTTGTCAATACACACACCTCGTTAATACACAGCGTGAAGGAGCAAAACAGACTGCTGAGAAAACAACTCAGGTAACACCTTGTCAATACACACACCTTATTAATACCCAGTGTGGAGGAGCAAAACAGACTGCTGAGAAAACAACTCAGGTAACACCTTGTCAATACACACACCTCGTTAATACCCAGTGTGGAGGAGCAAAACAGGCTGCTGAGAAAACAACTCAGTTAACACCTTGTCAATACACACACCTCGTTAATACACAGTGTGGAGGAGCAAAACAGGCTGCTGAGAAAACAACTCAGGTAACACCTTGTCAATACACACACCTCGTTAATACACAGTATGGAGGAACAAAACAGGCTGCTGAGAAAACAACTCAGGTAACCTTGTCAATACACACATCTTGTTAATACACAGTGTGGAGGAACAAAACAGACTGCTGAGAAAACAACTCAGGTAACACCTTGTCAATACACACACCTCTTTAATACACAGTGTGGAGGAGCAAAACAGGCTGCTGAGAAAACAACTCAGGTAACACCTTGTCAATACACACACCTCGTTAATACACAGTGTGGAGGAGCAAAACAGACTGCTGAGAAAACAACTCATCTAACACCTTGTCAATACACACACCTCTCTAATACACAGTGTGGAGGAGCAAAACAGACTGCTGAGAAAACAGCTCAGGTAACACCTTATCAATACACACACCTCTCTAATACACAGTGTGGAGGAGCAAAACAGACTGCTGAGAAAACAGCTCAGGTAACACCTTGTCAATACACACACCTCGTTTATACACAGTGTGGAGGAGCAAAACAGACTGCTGAGAAAACAACTCAGGTAACACCTTGTCAATACACACACCTCGTTAATACACAGTGTGGAGGAGCAAAACAGGCTGCTGAGAAAACAACTCAGGTAACACCTTGTCAATACACACACCTCGTTTATACACAGTGTGGAGGAGCAAAACAGGCTGCTGAGAAAACAACTCATCTAACACCTTGTCAATACACACACCTCGTTAATACCCAGTTTGGAGGAGCAAAACAGGCTGCTGAGAAAACAACTCATCTAACACCTTGTCAATATACACACCTCGTTAATACACAGTGTGGAGGAACAAAACAGGCTGCTGAGAAAACAACTCAGGTAACACCTTATCAATACACACACCTCTCTAATACACAGTGTGGAGGAGCAAAACAGACTGCTGAGAAAACAGCTCAGGTAACACCTTATCAATACACACACCTCGTTAATACACAGCGTGAAGGAGCAAAACAGACTGCTGAGAAAACAACTCAGGTAACACCTTGTCAATACACACACCTCGTTTATACACAGTGTGGAGGAGCAAAACAGACTGCTGAGAAAACAACTCAGGTAACACCTTGTCAATACACACACCTCGTTAATACACAGTGTGGAGGAGCAAAACAGGCTGCTGAGAAAACAACTCAGGTAACACCTTGTCAATACACACACCTCGTTTATACACAGTGTGGAGGAGCAAAACAGGCTGCTGAGAAAACAACTCATCTAACACCTTGTCAATACACACACCTCGTTAATACCCAGTTTGGAGGAGCAAAACAGGCTGCTGAGAAAACAACTCATCTAACACCTTGTCAATATACACACCTCGTTAATACACAGTGTGGAGGAACAAAACAGGCTGCTGAGAAAACAACTCAGGTAACACCTTGTCAATACACACACCTCGTTAATACACAGTGTGGAGGAGCAAAACAGGCTGCTGAGAAAACTCAGGTAACACCTTGTCAATACACACACCTTGTTAATACACAGTGTGGAGGAACAAAACAGGCTGCTGAGAAAACAACTCAGGTAACACCTTGTCAATACACACACCTCGTTAATACCCAGTGTGGAGGAGCAAAACAGACTGCTGAGAAAACAACTCAGGTAACACCTTGTCAATACACACACCTCTTTAACACACAGTGTGGAGGAACAAAACAGACTGCTGAGAAAACAGCTCAGGTAACACCCTGTCAATACACACACCTCGTTAATACACAGTGTGGAGGAACAAAACAGGCTGCTGAGAAAACAACTCAGGTAACACCTTGTCAATACACACACCTCGTTAATACCCAGTGTGGAGGAGCAAAACAGACTTCTGAGAAAACAACTCAGGTAACACCTTGTCAATACACACACCTCGTTAATACACAGTGTGGAGGAACAAAACAGGCTGCTGAGAAAACAGCTCAGGTAACACCTTGTCAATACACACACCTCGTTAATACACAGTGTGGAGGAGCAAAACAGACTGCTGAGAAAACAGCTCAGGTAACACCTTGTCAATACACACACCTCGTTAATACACAGTGTGGAGGAGCAAAACAGACTTCTGAGAAAACAACTCAGGTAACACCTTGTCAATACACACACCTCGTTAATACACAGTGTGGAGGAACAAAACAGGCTGCTGAGAAAACAGCTCAGGTAACACCTTGTCAATACACACACCTCGTTAATACACAGTGTGGAGGAGCAAAACAGACTGCTGTGAAAACAACTCAGGTAACACCTTGTCAATACACACACCTCGTTAATACACAGTGTGGAGGAGCAAAACAGGCTGCTGAGAAAACAACTCATCTAACACCTTGTCAATACACACACCTCGTTAATACCCAGTTTGGAGGAGCAAAACAGGCTGCTGAGAAAACAACTCATCTAACACCTTGTCAATATACACACCTCGTTAATACACAGTGTGGAGGAACAAAACAGGCTGCTGAGAAAACAACTCAGGTAACACCTTGTCAATACACACACCTCGTTAATACACAGTGTGGAGGAGCAAAACAGACTGCTGAGAAAACTCAGGTAACACCTTGTCAATACACACACCTTATTAATACCCAGTGTGGAGGAACAAAACAGGCTGCTGAGAAAACAACTCAGGTAACACCTTGTCAATACACACACCTCGTTAATACCCAGTGTGAAGGAGCAAAACAGACTGCTGAGAAAACAACTCAGGTAACACCTTGTCAATACACACACCTCGTTAATACACAGTGTGGAGGAGCAAAACAGGCTGCTGAGAAAACAACTCAGGTAACACCTTGTCAATACACACACCTCGTTAATACACAGTGTGGAGGAGCAAAACAGGCTGCTGAGAAAACAACTCAGGTAACACCTTGTCAATACACACACCTCGTTAATACACAGTGTGGAGGAGCAAAACAGACTGCTGAGAAAACAACTCAGGTAACACCCTGTCAATACACACACCTCGTTAATACACAGTGTGGAGGAACAAAACAGGCTGCTGAGAAAACAGCTCAGGTAACACCTTGTCAATACACACACGGAAACCTTCTTAACACACGCACCTTGGTAAGACACACATATTTTTAACGCACAGACCTTGTTAACGGGATGGGGTGGTCAGGCTCACTCACATGGGTGCTGCATGTCATTGTACCCGACTTGCACGTATCGATGCGCATGATGTGAATCACTGGATTATCTGGTCCAGACTAGATTATTTACAAACTGCCATCATATAGCAACAAGCACCTTGTTAATGCACACACCTTGTTAACACACCAACCTTGTTAACACACACACAGACCATTCCGAGCATCGATTACTTAATAACACCGACAAATCTGTAATCACATGACCTCCTGCCCCTCTCCCCTTCTCTCTACATTCTTCTCTCTATTCTGTATATCCTCTTCTCTCTCTCTCCAGTCAGGCCCAGAGTCAGCTGCTGAAGGCCCACATGAGCCTGGCAGCGGAGAACGACGTTGTGTCGCAGACCGGCAACAAGTCCAGGGTCAAGTGCATCAACTCTGAACCCGAGGTGCCCAAGTGTGAGGTACTGCTCCTTCTCTGTGCTCCTTCTCTGTGCTGCATCAGTGAACTTGATGCATGATCCGCTGATGTATCCTGTGTTGTGCATGATATTTCAATGACATCGGACTACAGTAGATGGTTTCGTTCCACAATACCTTCTTTGTTCAATCCTAGTTCGCCATGATTATGTTTCTAGGACTGTCATTAACTAACAAATGCTCATTGGTTCAAAACTGTGATAACACCTGCATCATATTAGGCTTCTCCATCCTCAAGCTGCCACCCCGGGATATTTGTTTGTTTGTGTTTGTTTGTTTGTTGTTTAACGCCGCACTCAGCAATACTCCAGCTATATGACGGCAGTTTGTAAATAACCGAGTCTGGACCTGACAATCCAGTGATAGACGTCATGAGCATCTATCCACGCAATTGTGATGCGATGACATGCATCAACCAAGTCAGCGAGCCTGACCACCCGATCCCGTTAGTCGCTCTTACGACAAGCATAGTCACCTTTTATGGAAAGCATGGGTTGCTGAAGACCTATTCTACTCTGGGATATAACTGGAATGCTGCTCACCATAATATCAATCATTGGTTTGACTGGTCCAGACTAGATTATTCAAAAAGCGCCATGATATAGGTGGAATATTTCTGAGTTTGCTGTGAGACAACTTCAACAAACAAATATGAATTCTATTCGTAATAGGTTTTGGCCTGACAGCATTAGAAATTAACACTAGTCCTTGCCAAACTGCCCAATAGTTAAGGTATCATACGGACTAGTAGAAATTTGCCATTATTAGGGATTTTGCTATATATTTTATAAAGACTAGTGGACTAAAACAATTAGTTTCTATTGCTGCCTGACTTTTGTTTTGCAAACTGCTGATTATCAAGATTAATTTCCCTGTTTCAGGTGATTCAGGTTGCGATTGTCTGCGCGGGGTACAACTCAACACGCGATGTGGTCACACTTATAAAGAGTGTGTTGTTCTATCGCCGTAACCCACTTCACTTCCATTTTATCTCTGACAGAGTCGCAGAAATCATTCTCAGGAATTTATTCACCACTTGGAATGTTGCTGGAGGTGAGATCACCAGGCTGTATTTCATCAGTAGCTGTTTTGAATTACTTTCAAATATCAGGGATGTGAAATCTCCGCGGAAACGCGGAAAATCGCATTTTTTAAAACAGTAGTCCTCGGGAAAAAAACATCTTCCGCGTAAAAATTTAATAAATTTTTTTAAAAAAAACTCCGAAAAATATGATCGAAAACCGGACAATTGGCGCGGATTGTCCTGTTTTCGATCAGAGCTTTCACAGCTTAGGTTTTCGGACATCATACGTTTTCTGTCACGAATACTTGCACTATAACGTGGGGTGTGGCGTCACACAGAAATTGTAAATACTCAGAGTCAGCTGATGGCTTGTTTTTAAGATAAAGTTGTCTTTTAGCCTGTAAGTGAATGAGATGTTTTACAGTTGTTCATGTGATAAGCGAGAAAACTATGAATGTTTCTTCAGCGTCCAAAACCCCATGTCATGGGGATATATGTTGTATTAATGTCTTATGTTTGCAATGGAGTTTTGTTTTTTTCATCAAAAGGTAAGTACAAGGTAAGTTTTTTTCAATATGCTTCAACATGGGGAAAGGGTCAGACATTGCACGCTTGTGACAGTTGTCCTTGTGTCTGGGGGATGGGGGTTGAAGTTTATGGCAGTATTGCTCCCAGACCTGGCCTCAGACCACAATTAATTTCCTTCTTTGCTATCTACAGTGACATGACAGCCCACCATAATTATTATCAGTCGTAGGCCGTTCTCCTGTTGCATGCTGACCAACCTGTCACTTGTCACTTAAAACGCAAACTTACGTCCAGGATCCACCACCTTGCTTTCGCAGTAACCACTGTCAACAATGCTCACCGGAAGTTTCGAGCCGAAACACACACAGCGGCCTTCAACTTGGGGTCAAATCATGGGAAGCTGGAATCAATACCTTCACAGATTGGGGCTTACAAAAAATTGACAGCAAACTACAATGTCTTATCTTTCATTTAAGCTATCACAAGTCACTCCAAAAAAATTGCCACAGGCTGAACAGCCCATTTCAACTGGGTACTATATTCTCCTATTTTCCTTCCGGTTCATGGTAAAACTTAGGGGGGATAACTGTGGTCTGAGGCCTATCAGGACAGAAAAAAGTATGCAATTCAAATACAACTTCATCAATACTAAGCCCATACACTGTTGAAGGCTCACAGAAAATTTGGAATCCCTAACTCATACACAGCTTGACTTATAGTCATTTGAAATCATGCTGCATCCATAGCACTTGAGAGTACATTTTTGGCATGAATTCATTTCAAATGCAATTCTAATTTGTCCATAACTCCATAACCAAAAGGAAATTGACAAAACAAGCAAGTGTTCCTGTCTCGTCATGACATATACTATCAACAGACATCAATTTCAGTCCGGTATATCAATTCTTTTTTTTTTGGCCTATTTTTAGGTACATGCATGCATTTTTTAACAAAACAATTGAATTAAAGTTCATATTTTTCAACAAAAATGAAAATTGAAACTGTTAAATTTTTATTCACATGAAAGCCCTGTCTTTACTCATTAAAATGATTGGTGGGACAGGTAGCTGTGTACAGCCAATCAAGTGCAGCGAGTCACCAGGTGTGACCACTCTCAGCTGACACTCGGCCAATACACGCCAAGGTGTCAAACTGCGTGTACAGCTCAACTGCAATTTGGACTGCTGGCACAAGACATATGTATGTCTTGAGAGTTTCTAATACATTTACACGCTTGTCATTGCCATTGACATTACACAGTCATGGGGTATATAGGTACATCTTGTGCTCAGAGCTCATTAGTTCTGTCCGAGACAATCACAATGAAAGGCGATCGCAAGAGAATCAAGTCACAGTTCAGCAAGGGCCACACTCCCTGGAACAAAGGTCTCACCCTTGAGTCTGAAGAGACAGAAAGTGACTCTCCACCCCAGATACCCAGGACTGTCACTAGGATGAGTGCTGAAGACTTCTCACTGGTTACCAAGTCTAGGCTGGATGGCACTGGGCTGTCGACACCTGACTGTGAGGGCATCTCTACCTCTGTGAGGCTGTTGCGGCCTACTCCGGCCAGCAAGCAAAACCTGAAACAAGAGTCAAGCAAAGATGACTTGGAGGGTATGCGACTAGTCGACAATGAAAAGGTGGCCGAAGCATGGAACACAGCTCTGCGACTGCATCGTTCGACATCCACTGACTGCGACGACCCTCAGCTGCAGATAGCCAAGGAGAGAAAATGGGGAGCATGCTGGAAAGTGACACTGAAATGTGTTGTATGTGACTTCACAGCACCTGAAATGAAGTTGTATAAAGAAATCAAGACAGGCAAACCTGGACCAAACCCAGCAGCCCCTAACGTAGGACTTGCCTTGGGTCTTCAAGACACCCCTATTGGGAACACAAGAGCCAGGTTACTGATGGCGAACATGGACATTCCGCCCCCATGCAGGAGCAGTATGCAGAGGACCTCCAACAAGGTGGCTATTGCTGTTACTGAACTGAATACACAGGATATGGCTGAAAAAGTTGAATTGGTAAAGGAAGTTAATCGGAAGAGGGGTACTGAGCCATGCGAGATGAATATTGCCATGGATGGCCGATACAACTCAACGACAATAGCAAGCAGGAAGAAGCCAGGGCAGAATGCATCACAAGCAATCGGCATAGCCTGCGAAACTATTACCGATAAGAAGTTCATCATCGGCGCGTCATTCCAGAATAAGCTGTGCTGGACTGGTGCTTGGCTGAAAGGAAAAGGAATGGATGTGAAGTGTCCAGGGGGGCACCCAGACTGTACTGCAAACATGTCGGCCTTCGCTCCGTTCTCCGAGTTCAATATGGGAGAGGACATTGGAAATCAGCTTGCGCTACAGGGTGTGCTAATTAAGTATGCTACTACCGATGGGGATTCTAAGTCTGCAGATGGTATAGACAAGGCTCTGAAAGTGTTAGACCCTATGTGGAAGGTGCAGAGGCTAGCTGATCCCACCCACTTGGCTCAAGGACAGTTTCGGCAATGCTACAGAGCTGATTTCAACCCAGATATGTTCCCCGGCACTACTCGTACACAGAAATTGGAGGCTAAGAAGGTGCTAAGTCAGGATGTAAAGGCACGGTGCAGCCTGATACTGAAAGAACTCATGAAGGATCATGCAGGCGACATGAAAACACTTCGTAGTATCTTACCTAGAGTGCTCGAAGCAACCCTCAAGTGCTACAGCGGCGACTGCTCCAGGTGTGCCCGGTACTCTGTTGTGTGTCGAGGCGGTGTAACAAACAGCTGGTGGCAGCGGTCCATGTTCCTCGGCTGCAACAAAATCACTCATTTCAATATGGATGACAATGATAAACACTTGATGAATGAAATTCTCAAGATGAAGCTGAGTGTCGAAGTTGTCGAACAAATGAAACTGTACACAGACACACAGAAATGTGAAGCCGTGAACCGATCAATGAGTATTTCTTTGCCAAAGAACGTGAACTTTTCAAGAAATATGATTGGGAGGGCTTCATCGACTATTCATAGGCTCAACAATGGCCCCGGGACATCAGCAATCGACAAGTGCCAAAACTCTGGTGTTGAACTATCAAGTCGAGCAGTACGGTCACTTGAACAAATGGACAAGGAAGCTGCCTATCACAAGGAATACCAGAAAAGTCCCAGTGTTGTGAAAAGAAAGCTCGTACAGCATGGGAGCAAAATTAGTGAACATTTAAAGTCAAAACTGAGTGACAAACAGAGGAGGGGGGACTACAAAAAGGGTCAACTTGACCCTGTGCCATGTTTTAGCAAACAAGCTGACCATTCATATTCAAAGAAATGAACATGTGCAGTAATACTGTAGGTAATGACTAGCTTATGACTGACTTTGTGTAAACAATTGAGTTGAAATAGGTAACAGTTGCTGTACAGCTATGCTTTTTGTATATGCAATGCTAACAATCAGCTGTCACTGTGCTGAACATCAGTTAATGAATAAAATCTTAATCATTTACTTTGCTTGTTGTTGTCTCTTTTCATAGCTTCAAAGCCAAAAGGCAATCTGCATATGGCGCATGGCCTTTGCATGCACCCCTGTTCACACAGGCTACTCTTTCTGCATTAATGCTATGAGGCTCAGCAGAAAGATGTTCGACATAGGTGCATTTGGAATTATGGCACAAATGGCTGATGTCCAAATCACCTATGTCGAAATCTTCCCTATGCACAATGTAGCTGAGTCTATGGGCATTTATGGTGCGCCACTTGTTGGATATGGGGCAATAGTATCTCAAAACCCCATATCCACTGGGCTTACATGCCCTAGACCACAGCTGACATTGGCCGTTTTGACAGGTGCCGTGTTGGTCAGTTTTGGCTGAATGCCGAGCAAATAACTCTCTGTATTTCTTAAAAAAGGCTTCGATGTTGGCCATATTAAAAGTGTCCAAGTGCAAACGAGGCACGACAGGTGTAGTGATACATGATTCTACCATATTGGAACTCATATGACTTATTATGATGCTGGCATTCACTCATTTCAACAACATGCATAAAATCGCACGTTCGAAAAAGTACACAAAATCATTAAAAAAAATAAAAAAATATTTCAACCTGAATACACATGTACACAGATTTCAACACTTACTGTGAATATATGTGCCAAGTTTCAAGTCAAAATCTTGCATAATAATAGAGATATAGTGAATCAAACATATGCACTAGCCTCACCATATCAGGCCTCAGACCACAATTAATTTCCTTCTTTGCTATCTACAGTGACATGACAGCCCACCATAATTATTATCAGTCGTAGGCTGTTCTCCTGTTGCATGCTGACCAACCTGTCACTTGTCACTTAAAACGCAAACTTACGTCCAGGATCCACCACCTTGCTTTCGCAGTAACCACTGTCAACAATGCTCACCGGAAGTTTCGAGCCGAAACACACACAGCGGCCTTCAACTTGGGGTCAAATCATGGGAAGCTGGAATCAATACCTTCACAGATTGGGGCTTACAAAAAATTGACAGCAAACTACAATGTCTTATCTTTCATTTAAGCTATCACAAGTCACTCCAAAAAAATTGCCACAGGCTGAACAGCCCATTTCAACTGGGTACTATATTCTCCTATTTTCCTTCCGGTTCATGGTAAAACTTAGGGGGGATAACTGTGGTCTGAGGCCACCTGGCGGGTAGCCAGGTGCGCGAAAGCTATGCCCAATTTTATAAAAGTACTGATTTAACTTCGAAATTTTACTGCATCTGCCATCTTGTTTATTTGACTTATTGACTTTGGCCATTGACTTATTACATTTCTTGGTGTGAATGTTGTCCAAACTGCACGAAATTGCTTAAAATGCAATCAAATGTTTTAAAAAAATTCTGGGGGGGCATGCCCCCAGACCCCCCTAGACTTTTCCTCTTTTTTCGGGAAAACCTGCTCACATCCCTGAAATATATATCTTGCTGGTCCAGAAAACTTGAACACTTTTCTTCCCTTTTTCAGAATTAAGTTTATAATTATCAGGCCACTATAAGTTAATCTTGAGTGAGTGAGTGAGTATGGTTTTACGCCGCTTTTAGCAATATTCCAGCAATATCACGGCGGGGGAACACCAGAAACGGGTTTTACACATTGTACCCATGTCGGGAATCGAACCCGGGTCTTCGGCGTGACAAGCAAACGCTTTAACCACTAGGCTACCCGACCGCCCCAAGTTAATCTTGAGATTTTCAACAAAATTTTAACAGAAATGTAATACTAGTGGATTTATATTTTATATATATTTTTAAACAAACTTTTTCAAGACATTTGATTCAAATGAATACTTTATGAGACTAGTCAATAGAGACTCTGAACACATAAAGAGATGTTCTTCATCTCTCGGTAGGGTGTTTTTTTTGTAGTGAGGTGGGCGAAGATGAATTATTTTTCCTTATGCACACCATTTTTTATTTGTATACAACATTGGAAGCATACTTATCTTGTCAATAACAGTAATTGATTAATTAACAGGAATTTGGACTTCACGTCTATGACAGATTATTGTGGAAAATAATGTATTTCTGGACCCTGATTTGGAGAGGTGTACATTCATTGGAAATCATGTAGTTTGAATACAGTCAAACATCGTTGTGTCAAACTTACGGTTGTCTTGAAGTAACAGTTTGGTCCCGGCTAGGGCTGGGACGGGTAACTCGGATAAATATCTACAACGGGTACCCGGATAGGGTCGGGTAATAGGATGGTGGGTACCCGGGTAGTAAATTTGGACTGGTTGTGTCGAACCTTGGATGTCTCGAAGTATTTTCATAGGTCCCTTCAACTTCGACACAACACTGTTTACCTGTATTTTATGCAAACTAACTTGGACACTTTAAGTTTGGATTGTACCTTATTCTATGTATTGAGGGGCGGTCGGGTAGCCTGCTGGTTAAACTCGTCACGATATGGCTGAAATATTGACAATGTGACGTAAAGCATTAACTCACTCACTCACTCACTCACTCACCTGGTGGTTAAAGCGTTCGCTCGTCACGCCGAAGACCCGGGTTTGATTCCTGACATTGGTACAATGTGTGAAGCCCATTTCTGGTGTCCTCCGCCGTGATATTGCTGGAATATTGCTAAAAGCGGCGTAAAACCATACTGTATTGAAATTCATAAAGTCATTTGTAGCTGATATGCAAATAATTTACAAATAATTCAAAATCATCATCTGTAGACTGTCAGTTATAAGTTCATTTTGGCAAATATTCCAAAATGATTATTTTGTCAGAGAAAGCATTGCTGAATAATTGATGAACTAACACACTCGCTATGATTTGAATTTTTTTTTATAATGTTTGAGTTTCTTTTCTAACCAAACATCTTCTTCTCTGCTTCCAGTTGAGGTCAGTTTCTACCCAGCAGACACTGTGAAGGTGAGATATTTACCATTTCCTCACTAGCCTTACCTTGCATGAGATACTTGTTTCTGAGTGCTTACAGAATTAGCCATGATTTCCAATGTCCCTCGCTGGCAGACGAGGTAAACATTTTACACTGGGGTATGCTGAATGAGTAGGAAAACCGTACAACTTTATTGATAACAACTTCTTGTTTATTGCATATATCAACGATTCAATGTAGATTCTTACACCGTAATGAAGCTGGAGTGACAACAACCAAGTGATGAGAGGTCTGTATAGATATGTTGTCAGTCAGTAGATTAAAATTGACAACAGCAGGTAATAGATAACAAGTAGCATACAGATAATTGGATTAAGCCAAATGTACAGTAAGAATAACAAATAGCACACAGGCGCTATACGCAAGAAACCAGAAGTTGTTATTCATAAAGTTGTACGTTTTTCTTACTTATTTGCTAACTTCTAGAATGCCAACCAAACAGTTAAATGCTGAATATCTTATGCAGCTTAGCGACTGCCTCCGTGGTCTAATGGTAGAGCGTAAGGTCCGTGGTTAGTTCCCCGGCTGTGTCATACCAAAAGTCGTTAAAAGATGGTACTTGTTGTTACCCTGTCTGGCGCTCTGCATTTAGGGGTTAAAACAAGGACTGGTCGGCTCGGAGTCAGTATACTGTGTCTGAGTGGGGTATTCATATTCTACGCCACGGAAGCAGGGCCTCTACACCACAGAGGTAGGGCCACGCAGGTAGGGCCTTTACACCACAGAGGTAGGGCCTCTACACCCCAGAGGTAGGGCCTCTACGCCACAGAGGCAGGGTCTCTACGCCACGGAGGCGGGCCCTCTACACCACGGAAGCGGGACCTTTACGCCACGGAGGCAGGGCCTCTACGCCATGGAGGCGGGGCCTCTATGCCATGGAGGCAGTACCTATGACAACTGTTGAATGTTTCAGCCGGACATATCATGGATCCCCAACCGTCATTACTCCGGAGTGTATGGGCTGATGAAGTTGACGCTGCCTAAAACACTACCTGCTGACCTGGATAAGGTAGACTTCACATTGTATACGTTCTAGATGACTGACGGTATCATATCTCCATCCCAGATCTGGACCCGATCACTGCCTCCAGGGATTTATCTAGGATTTATACCTATGTGACTCTGGCAGGCAATTTGGTGATATTTTTATTTCACTCAATGCAATAAAATATATATAACTAAGCATGAAAATATTTCACTCCTTATTGGTCGTTATCGGTGCAATACAGGTTACCTCTTCAAGGCCATTGGTTATGAGGTGACTATGCTTGTTGTAGGAGGCGACTAATGGGATCGGGTGGTCAGGCTAGCTGACTTGGTTGATGCATGTCATTGATCCCAACTGCGTGGATCGATGCTCATGATGTCAATCACTGGATTGTCTGGTCCAGACTCGATTATTTACAGACTGCTGTCATATAGCTGGAGTATTGCTGAGTGCGGCGTTAAACAACAAACAAAACAAGTTATTAGTTATGACATGATTTGAGAAATTCATAATTCCAATTTGGGAATTTTCAGTTACATTAAAAATTTGCTGCTGACTTAAGGCTAACTATCAGCCTCTGAGCAATAGATAGTTTGTGGAGAAAGGAGTGATTGGGCTGTTGACCTCAAGCTGTGGTGGTAAATGGCCCCAGGGTATTTATGATACTAGAATGGAGAAATAAGTCACTCGACAGATAGGGATATTACAGTGCTGATTCAAAAAGACTTGTTTTGTTTGCGGATTAAGCAATCTCACTGATTAACATGCTTAACTTTTCTAGAGTTTCGTGAGGTGCTGCAATTTACTCTGGGGTAAAAGTTTGATAGTTTTTCTAGGATGAAAATAATAAAATCTTTATGATGTTCATATGAAACCAAATTTTATCTTTGCATGGTCTGATTAAGTGGGCAGCTCTAACTGAGGGGAGCAGCACCAGATGACACATGTCGGGATAGCTGCTCTAGGGTGAAAATCTCCATCATGACTGTCTTCTGTTTTGTTTTCAGGTGCTTGTTTTAGACACTGATGTTACCTTTGCAACTGATATAGCAGAATTGTGGAAAATATTCCGTGTCTTAAAAGAAAAACAGGTAGGTGGATAACTTAGATTCACTGACAGTTCTTCTTGTCTAACTTGTTCAGAATCTATGGTATTTACTATGGTGACAGTTTTGTACATGGAATGACACACTCTATATTCCACAGGCTATTGGTCTTGTAGAGAACCAGAGTGACTGGTACTTGGGGAAGCTCTGGAAGAACCACAGACCCTGGCCGGCGCTGGTGAGTAACGTGTAGACACAGGTTCAAGGTCAGCTTTAGACTACAAGGCAGCAAAAGATCCCTTTTTTACAACCCGATCATGTCACTTCTAGAAATATCCTTATATGTCTAATGTACTCTAGGACGTGTTGGTGTACTCTAGGACGTGTTGTGTGAACACTAGGGTGTGTTGGTGTACTCTAGGACGTGTTGGTGTACTCTAGGACGTGTTGGGTGTACTCTAGGATGTGTTGGTGTACTCTAGGACGTGTTGGTGTACTCTAGGACGTGTTGGGTGTACTCTAGGACGTGTTGGGTGTACTCTAGGATGTGTTGGGTGTATTCTAGGACATGTTGGGTGTATTCTAAGACATGTGGGTGTACTCTAGGATGTGTTGGGTGTACTCTAGGACGTGTTGGGTGTACTCTAGGACATGTTGAATGTATTCTAGGACGTGTTGGGTGTACTCTAGGACGTGTTGAATGTACCCTAGGACATGTTTGGTGTACTCTAGGACATGTTGAATGTATTCTAGGACGTGTTGGGTGTACTCTAGGATGTGTTGGTTGTATTCTAGGACATGTGGGTGTACTCTAGGACATGTTGGGTGTACTCTAGGACATGTGGGTGTACTCTAGGACATGTTGGGTGTACTCTAGGACATGTTTGGTGTACTCTAGGACATGTGATAGTGAACTCTAGGAAATGTTGAATGTACTCTAGGACGTGTTGAATGTATTCTAGGACATGTAGATTACTGTTTCTACATTTCCAGGGTCGTGGGTTTAACACTGGTGTGATACTCCTCGATTTAAAGATTTTAAAAGAACTAAACTGGATGCAGATGTGGAGACTCATTGCAGAGAAGGAGTTGATGAGCATGCTAGCTACTTCACTGGCAGATCAAGTGAGTACATACACAATACATACATTAAAGACAGTAGACACGTTCCAGACAGTACACACACTACAGACAGTAGACACACTACAGACAGTACACACACTACAGACAGTAGACACACTACAGACAGTACACACACTACAGACAGTTATCACACTACAGACAGTTATCACACTACAGACAGTTATCACACAGTACACACATAGTCGCAATGACACAGTTGTTACTGTTCTTTGTTGGGTTTTTTGTTTGTATGTTTGTTGTTTAACGCCAAACTAGCAATATTCCAACTATATCACGGCGGTCTGTAAATAATCGAGTTTGGACCAGACAATCCAATGATTGACATCATGAGCATCGATCTACGCAATTGGGGTACGATGATGACATGCATCAACCAAGTCAGCGTGCCAGACCACCTGATCCCATCAGTCGCCTCTTAAGACAAGCACAGTCACCTTTCAGGGCAAGCATGGGTTGCTGAAGACCTATTCTACCGCGGATCTTCACGGGTCTCTTTGCTTGTATTCTACTTTCTCCAGTTAAGCAATAATGAAACACTCGTTCAGCAAGGTTGTACTATTAAGTATGGGAGGACAGACCGACATGTATCACATTTAACTGTTGCATCCAGACAGTATTACATCCCTGTCCTATATGCTATGTGATTAATGTCTGTGGTGCACCAGGACATCTTCAACGCGGTGCTGAAGCAGTACCCCTACATGGTCTACAAGTTGCCGTGTCAGTGGAACGTCCAGCTCAGTGAGAACACCCGCAGCGAGCAGTGCTACAGCGACGTGTCCGACCTCAAGGTACGTACACTCCACCCTCAGTAACCTTGAATTGCTATACGAAGACTGAAATTGTGGTAACACTTACCAAGTAGTTATCAGGCAAAATGATAAATTTTACGCTTGAAAATCGATACATACGTAGGCCTGTCTTTTGTAGTATATATGTGATGCATCTCTGAATCAGTAACCAAGTAACCAAGCTGTGCTTTGTTAGAAACAGATTATGTTGTTTTTGTTTAACTCTGCACTCAGCAATATTGTAGCTAGATAACAGGGGCCTGTAAATTATCAAGTTTGGACCAAACAGTGATCGATATTATGACCCGCGTTGTCAGGGTACGATGACACATGATCAACCATGTCACCGAGCCAAACAACCCAATCCATTTGGTAGGGCTGGCAAAAAAGATCGATGCGGAATTAACATCGATGGAAAGACATTTTTACGATTATCGATAACAAAATTGTGTCATTGATAATATCTTACACTATTGTGATAAAATAAAGTTTAGATTTACCAAAACAGACTTGTTATTGTCAATAATGTCAATTGCTGAAGATGGAAAGTAACCGTTTCTGTTTTATCTCAAATGTCCACGAAGTAATCCCTGAATAAATGTGTCACCACTCCCCAGTGGAGTGACATACCGTATTCGAGGCAATAAGCGCCCAGCTCTAATAAGCGCCCTCGGCGACATTTGCTAAGATATTGGCTATGTCCTTAGATCTTTGTTTAGCGATAGCGAGAAGTAAAATCTGATTTTAATGAGATTGCGCTCTTATAAGCGCCGACGGCTAGTGAACAATCCCAGTTAGCACCCCCTCCGATTGATCAATGTACACAAGACTTATTTATTTGCGTATAATACGCACTCGTGTGTTATATGCACCCTTAATTATGGGCAATTAAATTCTGGAAAAATATATCTGTCGTACATAAACATTTCAGGCTGTCAGCATAAACCACGAAATTTATCTTTATTTTTCACCAAAATAATATTCTAATAAGCGCCCCCTATTTCTAATTTTGAGAGCGCCCTGTGCGCTTATTACATCTAATATGTAATGTTTATTTCTTTTGGAGGTTGTTTTTTTTGCGTATTTGCTAAAAGTTACTTCTCCAATATTTATTGATAATTGATTGATATTTAGTTAACGATTATCGATAGCCAGCCCTACCATTTGGTCGCCTCTTACAACCAGCATAAGTTGCTGGAGACCTCTTCAACTCAGGATTCCCATGGGGCGGAGATGAGGATGTGCATGATGTTGTGTGTTGCAGATCATTCACTGGAACTCGCCCATGAAGCTGAAGGTCAAGAACAAGCACGTGGAGTTTTTCCGTAACATGTACCTGACGTTCCTGGAATATGATGGCAACCTGCTGCGTAGGGAGCTGTTTGGATGCGGAACGCCGGGCTCAGCCAATCAGGTTCAAGAACAGGTCAGTGAGGTCAACACACATATAAAACATGTTTTAAGATGCTTCGGTAAAAGATCAAAGGTGCCGCCAGTACTGAATGAGTTGTCATAATTCTCTAACGTCATGACACTGTAATCCGATCTAATGTAACTGTGGTTACATTGTACTATCATTCCTGTCAGTCAAGATGGCGCATCCATATCAATTATCAATCGTTGAAATACTTTCCTTAATTTGTCCTCGTTTTTTAACTATAACAGTTCAAACTATACTTTATTCCACTACGCAAGTACACTTGGGTGTAGAGCAAACTTGGTTTCTTTATTGATGATTGATCAGTTGGAATTCTTTTGTCTGGCACCGAACACCTGAGTCTACCGTGTAGTTTTATTTAGTTCATGACTTGGATATATGGTGCAGTGCTTTGTTCAAAATCCTGGGTCCCCCCCTAAGCAATTATTGTTCAAATCCATTTTTCAATATGGCTGCTATGGCAGCCATTTTGGTTCAAAATGTAGTGAAATTTGGTATGTTACAATTATCACAAATTACCTTACAAGTTCCCAACTGACTTTCAGTTGATATCGAATGAAGACGACGAGTGTTACGACTTCCGGCGTGAGCGCGTGCTGGTTCACCGCACCCACCTGTACTACTTGAACTACAACTACCAGTACATGGAGGACGACGTGACGCTGGTGGCGCAGCTCAGCATGGACCGCCTGCAGATGCTGGAGATGATCTGTAAACACTGGGAGGGCCCCATCAGCATCGCTCTCTACATGTCGGACGCCGAGGCTCAGCAGTTCCTCCGCTACGCTCTGGGCTCCGAGACGCTCATGTCCCGCAAGAATGTCGGTTACCACGTGGTGTACAGAGACGGGGTGAGTCCTAGTTATATTGATCATGACGACTTTTTCTTGTAGCTCACCTGAACGGGACTTTACATGAGCTTTTATTGTGGCATGATGTCCGTCATAACATTTTACTTTTCTGAATTCTCCTCTAAAAAGTGTAAGACCTTTGACTGAAACCGACTGTTTGATCCCATCAATGTCATCTGTGCCCATTACTCTGCCATTATCATCTGTATTTTTTTTGGAAAAAAAGTGTGCACTATACTCAAGAAAATACGGTAATATTCAGAAATATTATGTATGCATGATCCCAAGGTTTATCAGTCCTGGGATTTCTCAGTCATGCTTTTTTTCTTTGGGGGGGGGGGGGGGGGCGATGGGGGATACCAGACATGAAAATCAGCATCCAATTTGAAATATGTGGATCCAAGTATTATGTATAATATGGGTGTGTTTTTAATGTTTGAAACAAAATTTAGCTATTGAGTGGTATCTGTGATACATGCAGTGCAAACTATTGCCATCCATTCTCAATTTTATGTGTGCAGAATGCAATAGAAGACCCATTGGTGACATTTTCATGTAATATTTGCAAATATATCAGAAACATGGTGAGCTAAAAAACCCTTGTGGCTCCAATCTGTATATTTAATATCGGAAGGCTGTGCTGCAATCTGGGTACAAAGTTTGTGCAATGTTTAAGAGTTACTTTCCTTTCCTTTTTATCATTGAAGGTTATGCTATTCTATGGAATAGGTTTTTGCTATTTAAAGCAATTCAAAAAGTTACCTCCCTTTCCATATAAATCTCCAAGCTCCTTCCCAGTGTGTGACAGCTTCGTTACACTCTCAGTAACATCACTGCCACCAGTGTGGGCGGCCATTACAAGAATCTTGAAATTTGCCCTCTAACCCCAAATGTAGTAACGTTTATACTTTTGTTTGTGTCTTTGGGAATGCCATCATATTTCATTTTTAAAAGGTTTACGACTGACCATGTTTTCCAGATGAATTTACTTTGGTATTTTAATAATCAGATTGGTTCGAAATTGCAGACTAACGGAAAATCAACCAACTTCTCCCTTACATTCTTACTATATCAATAACACGATAGTTTTAATGAAACAGAAATTCAAATTGATAAACAAAGAAAGTAATTTAGCAGGGGTAAGTGTATTCGGCGTCACGACAGTCGTCACTAATTTGTAAGCATAATGGTCATTCGGTTGCAAGTTCAACTCCAAGCACGGTTGGGGTCACCTATCACAGTGGGAGGTTATGACTGGTGGCAGCGATAGTATAGACAGCTCCGCGAACAGGCTATCACTGTGAGGAGCTTGATAAATCTATTTGAAGTTTATTACAGAAGGTTGTTTGTATTCTATAGGCTAAGTCTGTGTTTTTCTCCAGCAATTCTACCCGGTGAACTACCTCCGTAACGTGGCGCTCCAGCAGGCCCCCACACCATACGTGTTCCTGGCCGACATCGACTTCCTGCCCATGTATGGGCTGTACGAGTATCTGAAGAAAGCTGCCCCCATGATGGAGCTCTCCACACAGAAAAAGGTAAAAAACATTCTCCGCATAATTGATACACAAGCAGCAGAGTGACCTGAACTTCTGTGGTTAGCTCCATTCAGTGACTTTAGCATTTACCATGGATGTTTATTGTGTTTCCAGCAACCTTTGCTTGTCGTACAACTGTTTGTTTGTTTGATTGTTTGTTTGTTTTTCCATTTAAATAATCGCTTTGAAGCCTCTGCACTTCCTGGTGCGTAAGGGAAAATAGCTCAGAGCGGATTTCGAGGATACCACGTCATTTTTCTTGAAGATGTAGCAAGTCGTCAAATTTGATTCAAATAGTTTGTTGTTTAACGCCGCACTCAGCAATATTCGACCTATATGGCAGCGGTCTGTAAATAATCGAGTCTGGACAATCCAGTGATTCATATAAGCATCGATCCATGCAATTGGGATACGATGACATGCATCAACAAAGTCAACTAGCCTGACCACCCGATCCTGTTAGTCGCCTTTTATGACAGGTATAGTTGCTGTTTAGGGAGAGACTAGGCTGTTCAAGACCTATTCTAACGGATCAGGTGGTCAGGCTCTGTGACTTGGTTGATTGTAACTAAATGGATCAGGATATTGCTCATCACATCTGGTTTGTCTGGCCCATACTGTATTTTTACAAATAGCTGTGATATAGCTGGAATCTTGTGTCCCTTGTTCAGTGTTTACATAACAAACAAGTCTATTTATCTTCCAGGCTTTAGTGGTGCCAGCATTTGAGACACAACGGTACCGACTGACATTCCCCAAATCTAAGGCAGAACTTTTGACCATGCTGGACATGGGAACTCTGTTTACGTTCAGGTTGGTATTTCCAGAAATAGTGTGATGCCAAATGTTTGGTTTTCACCATCTGCTTCTTCCATTGTAGGCTAACACTTAGACAAAGAAAACATTTCTTTACAAACTTTTTCTTTTTTTTTCTTCAACTTTTCCTCTTCTGCTGTTTTCATAGGAATCGAGATTGAACATCAACGTTCAGCTAGTGGTCTAGTGGTAGAGCAGAAGGCCGGGGTTCGATCCCCGGCCGCGTCATACCAAAAGACTATAAAAATGGTACTTGTTGTTACCCTGTCTGGTGCTCGGCATTAAGGGTCTAAAACAAGGACTGGAGGGCTCGGAGTCAGTTTACTGTGTCTGAGTGGGGTATTCATGTTAAACTGTGGCATGGTATTTCAATGGACTAGCACTATGAAATCGGCATTAGTCCATACTAGTACGATCAGTCACACACGTGCATGCGCATCTCTATATAAGTTCAATCTTAGCGACGTTAAACCCCATTTCACTTCGCCTCAGCTTGTAAGATATTTATACATATATACATGTATAACCCCTCCGCTAGGTTGACTCAACACACGCAATGTAGTAGCTCGAAATACTGGTCCAAGAACAAACCCCTCCGCTGTTGTTTTCAACTGTTCATATTACACAGATCTGCAGGTTTAGTTGGCAGATCCTGAGTCATCTTAAATGTACTCCCATACTTTAACATAGACTTAGACTGTCGTTGCGCTAAGATGATCATAACTCTCATACTTTAACATAGATTTATGACTGTCATAGCACAAAGATGATCGTAACTCCCATACTTTAACATAGACTTACGACAGTAGTAGCGCTAAGATGATCGTAACTCTCATACTTTCACATAGACTTAGACAGTCGTAGCGCAAAGATGATCGTAACTCTCATACTTTAACATAGACTTACGACAGTCGTAGCGCTAAGATGATCGTAACTCTCATACTTTCACATAGACCTAGACAGTCATAGGGCTAAGATGATCGTAACTCTCATACTTTAACATAGACTTACAGTCGTAGTGCTACGATGATCGTAACTCTCATACTTTATTATAGACTTATGACTGTCATAGTGCTAAGATGATCGTAACTCTCATACTTAAACATAGACTTATGACTGTCATAGTGCTAAGATGATCGTAACTCTCATACTTAAACATAGACTTACAGTCGTAGCGCTAAGATGATCGTAACTCTCATACTTTATTATAGACTTATGACTGTCATAGTGCTAAGATGATCGTTACTCCCATACTTTAACATAGACTTACGACAGTCGTAGCGCTACGATCGCTTTGTGGCACAGGGCCCTGGAATGTCGACTGATTCAGAGTAAAACTCACTTTGGTTGTTTTAACAGGTTCCATGTGTGGCCCCAGGGTCACGCCCCGACCAACTTTGCCAAGTGGAGGACGGCCACAACACCCTACACTGTGAGTGAATTATATTGTTAGTCTTGACATCTTTCTTATGGATTCCGGGTTAAAAAATTAACCGCCATCATGTAGTTGGAATAATGCTTAGTGCTGCATTAAACAACAAACAAACAAACAAATATACAAATGTCTGATTACAAAATATTTTGGCTCCAATTTCCTTCCTATATAAACACTGACTTCTTGGTAAGCCTGCTAGTTTTTGTTTGTTTGTTGGTTGGTTGTTTAACGCCGCGAACATCAAGATTCCAGCTATATGACGGCGGTCTGTAAATAATCAAGCCTGGACCAGACAATCCAGCGATTGACATCATGAGCATCGATCCACGCAGTTGTGATACGATGACATGCATCAACCAAGTCAACGAGCCTGTCCACCCGATCCCGTTAGTCACCTCTTACGACAAGCATAATGCCTTCTACGGCAAGCATGTAAAAAACAAGGACAGCTCAGACACCTAGATGTCCAGATAGTTTCATACTGATAGCACTGATAATGACTGGGTGTTTTTTAATTGACAGAATAATAAGTTCCATTGCAAATTACAGTAAAGTAGAATTCATTTCTGTCCCTTTGAAATTTTGTTATGAGCTGTGGTGTAGAAATGATGATGAAAACAAAATTTTGTTTTATCAATCTTGAATAACATTTAACCAACCATTCAAAGTAATTTAGAAAAATAAGCTTAGACCTTCTTAATTTCATTTTTTTTTTCCAATTTTATGGGGTCAGTGGTAAAACTTGGACTATTATGTATCATGTTTTTTGTGAACTCATAGAAGAATAATTATTGTCAATTTGGGAAATAAATAGAAATGTGAATATTTATAATATTTGGAAACGTTGTGTTCCTCATAATAAAGAAGCTGACATCCATAAATTCTCTTCATTATACAATATGTATTTTTGTTTGTAATGACAACGGTCATCACATTTTCCTGTGTTGATCTGTTCAGAAGGTTTTGTTTCAGTGCTGAAATTAGTTAAGCAACTACTGGCAACTAGGAAAGTTTGATCCCACAGTTGTGACATCTGGGGTTGGCGGACCTGTATTCCTTGGCGTTACAAATATACATGAAACTCAATACCACAACTTTCTTTTAAAACATCTGTTTTCATTTGACCAGGTTAGCTGGGAGTCGGACTTTGAGCCGTATGTGGTCGTGCGGAAAGATGTACCCCTGTATGACCAGCGCTTCATGGGCTTCGGGTGGAACAAGGTGGCACATACCATGGAGCTGGACGCCCAGGGGTGAGTAGCTCACTGACCTTCCTGACCTCTGTCTCCTTCCTGACCTCTGTTACCCCTCTGACCTGTTACCTCACAGACCACTGTTACCCTCTGACCTGTTACCTCACAGACCACTGTTACCCTCTGACCTGTTACCTCACAGACCACTGTTACCCCTCTGACCTGTTACCTCACAGACCTCTGTTACCCCTCTGACCTGTTACCTCACAGACCACTGTTACCCCTCTGACCTGTTACCTCACAGACCTCTGTTACCCCTCTGACCTGTTACCTCACAGGCCTCTGTTACCCCTCTGACCTGTTACCTCACAGACCACTGTTACCCTCTGACCTGTTACCTCACACACCACTGTTACCCCTCTGACCTGTTACCTCACAGACCTCTGTTACCCCTCTGACCTGTTACCTCACAGGCCTCTGTTACCCCTCTGACCTGTTACCTCACAGACCACTGTTACCCCTCTGACCTGTTACCTCACAGACCTCTGTTACCCCTCTGACCTGTTACCTCACAGACCTCTGTTACCCCTCTGACCTGTTACCTCACAGACCTCTGTTACCCCTCTGACCTGTTACCTCACAGGCCTCTGTTACCCCTCTGACCTGTTAGCTCACAGACACTGTTACCTCTCTGACCTGTTACCTCACAGGCCTCTGTTACCCCTCTGATCTGTTACCTCACAGGCCTCTGTTGCCCCTCTGACCTGTTACCTCACAGACCTCTGTTACCCCTCTGACCTGTTACCTCACAGGCCTCTGTTACCCCTCTGATCTGTTACCTCACAGGCCTCTGTTACCCCTCTGACCTGTTAGCTCACAGACACTGTTACCTCTCTGACCTGTTACCTCACAGACCTCTGTTACCCCTCTGACCTGTTACCTCACAGGCCTCTGTTACCTCTCTGACCTGTTACCTCACAGGCCTCTGTTACCCCTCGGACCTGTTACCTCACAGGCCTCTGTTACCCCTCTGACCTGTTACCTCACAGGCCTCTGTTACCCCTAGGACCTGTTACCTCACAGGCCTCTGTTACCCCTAGGACCTGTTACCTCACAGACCTCCTTTACCCCTCTGACCTGTTACCTCACAGACCACTGTTACCCCTCTGATCTGTTACCTCACAGGCCTCTGTTACCCCTCTGACCTGTTACCTCACAGACCACTGTTACCCCTCTGACCTGGTACCTCACAGACCACTGTTACCTCTCTGACCTGTTACCTCACAGACCACTGTTACCCCTCTGACCTGTTACCTCACAGACCTCCTTTACCCCTCTGACCTGTTACCTCACAGACCACTGTTACCCCTCTGATCTGTTACCTCACAGGCCTCTGTTACCCCTCTGACCTGTTACCTCACAGGCCTCTGTTACCCCTCTGACCTGGTACCTCACAGACCACTGTTACCTCTCTGACCTGTTACCTCACAGACCACTGTTACCCCTCTGACCTGTTACCTCACAGGCCTCTGTTACCCCTCTGACCTGTTACCTCACAGACACTGTTACCTCTCTGACCTGTTACCTCACAGACCACTGTTACCCCTCTGATCTGTTACCTCACAGGCCTCTGTTACCCCTCTGACCTGTTACCTCACAGGCCTCTGTTACCCCTCTGACCTGGTACCTCACAGACCACTGTTACCTCTCTGACCTGTTACCTCACAGACCACTGTTACCCCTCTGACCTGTTACCTCACAGGCCTCTGTTACCCCTCTGACCTGTTACCTCACAGACACTGTTACCTCTCTGACCTGTTACCTCACAGGCCTCTGTTACCCCAATGTATTCAGCTGTCCAAGTGTCCTCCATTACCTCACTGTCTGCTACTGCACTGACCCATCCAGACACAAGATCACTGACATCAGCACACAGTCATGTCTCGTTAATCCGACACTCGTTAATCCGACAATCGGCTTTATCCTACACTAATAATGGGAACAGATTAAATCAGTGCTATTTAGACGAGTTAATCCGACAGTCTTGCACTCCGACTCCGACACACCAAATTTGCAACAAATTGCTGAAATCACTCATTAATCAGTCTCGTTAACACCGACACAGTGATCAGCGTACTCCGTGGTCATCTGCCCGCGAGTACACAGCCCTGTGTTTTGATGCGAGACAAGTCAGCGAGTAGCTGCATATTACAACGGCTGCAGAGATAAACATGCTTAACAATAAACAATTACTGCTTTAAATAAACAAAACAGGATTATTCACAAGCCTAGATTACCTCAATCTCATTAAAATCGGATACAATTTCTCGCTGAGCACATCCCAATCGAGGTCACGTCAGAATGACTTTGCGAACTTTGACCTTTTCCTTTTGTTTTATTATGTGTTTGAATCATTATCTATCATGTAGTTGTCCGATTTTCGATCATGAACGTTGATACTACCAAATTTCATTTATTCGACATACTCGTTAATCCGACATAATCATATGCAACCAACAATGTCGGATTAATGGGACTTGACTGTATATGGCTGAAATAGTGTTGATGCAACATTAAATTTTAACTCACTCACACACTATACGTATTGTAGCTGAAGCAATTTCTACATTCATCTGCTGCATACCTTTTTGCTCCCAAAAGCTGAACGACGAGGTAATTATATGCAGAAATGGTTCTTGGGTTCTTTGGGCGGAGAGTATTAGGGCTGGGACGAGTCAAAATTTACTAGCCTGGTACCCGACCCCCTATTACCCGACCCTACCTTGGTATCCACTGTAGGTCTCAAGAGTTTGGAACACAATGTCTAATTTTTTGGGGTAGCCTAGCGGTGAAAGCGTTCGCTCGTCACGCCAAAGATCCGGGTTCAATTTCCCACATTGGTACATTATGTGAAACGCATTTCTGGTGTCTCCTGCAATGATATTGGTGGAATGTTGCTAAAACGGCATAAAACCATACTCACTCACTCGTATGTTGTTAAACACACATGACACATCCATTGCTGATAATGATGATGATATGTTTCTATTTTGCAGATATGAGTTTGTCGTTCTTCCTAATGCATTCATCATCCATATGCCCCATGCTCCTAGTTTTGACATTGCCAAGTTCAGATCAAGTTCATTATATAGAAAGTAAGTATTAAAGCGTTAATGGTTTTGTCTTTCATGTTGTGAGACTGGGTGCTGTGGTTGTCGCATATTACTGATAGCCCTGATTTTACATCCACGACCATTCGTCACCACTCGCCCCTTTCCGTAACCTGCAAGAAGACTCGTCCCTCTATCGATGAATGTTATGTGCGAAAATATGACAAACCAATCAGAATGCGCATATAATTTCAAGTTCTTCGTCAAAGAATCTCTCAGAAATAATTTTTGATTTTACGTATGTCTTGCATCTAAAAATATACCCAAGATACAGTTCAATGTGTTCAATCATACTGTATAATTCCGCACGTCCCGATGTGCTTTAAATTGCATCTGAAATATATGTAATACATGGTGAAATATATGTGAACCATTTTCTCAACGAATTGACAATTGTTTTCGGTATGCCCATTTGCGCTAAGATGGAACCCGGTCGCAAAAATGGCCACAAGAGAGGCACGAGTCGCTATTCGGCTTGTCCCGGAAGAACACGAGTTGGTCACGAATGATCCACGACCTGAATCACTTCTGGCTTTCTTCCCACATCAAGCTGACATGTGATATGACTTAAATGATGTTCAAGACGGAGTTAAACCAATTTCCCTCACTTTAAGTCCACATATGTTTTATTTTTCTATAGTAGACCCTCTTATAAAATATAAAATGTTCTATATAAATTCCATGTCTGCATTACTATCAGTGATTCAAGAAGCCAGCTGCAGTTTTAATTCCATGGCAGAATGACTTTCATATAAATCAATAAACGATTGACATAGCTATTTATTTTTATTTCGACCAACCTTGTGTGGATAAGCTGGAATAAATCTGTAAAAAAATTAAGTTAAAAAAATGTAACTCAGTTACAGAAACTTCATTGTGGGGACCAATTCCTTGGCTTTGTGTTTCATGATAAAGACCTTTAGCCCAATATTGGTGCAACTGTTGTCGTGCCAGATTTGTTTTGAATTTAATACCATTCTTGTTGTCTCCAACTGTACATGTCAAATCTTCAGATACAATGTATGTATGTCACATGGAAAGTGACCTCATGGATGAGAGCAGAATGTTCGAATCCATGGCCGTGTCATACCAATAGATGTTAAAAATGGTACTTGTTGTTACCCTGCCTGGCGCTAAGCGTTAAGGGGATAAAACATGTTGCGGATAAAGCATCTGGAGGGAGAACAAATGTTTGAATCCATGGCCGTGTCATACCAATAGATGTTAAAGATGGCACTTGTTGTTACCCTGCCTGGCACTAAGCATTAAGGGGATAAAACGTCTGGAGGGAGAACGAATGTTTGAATCCCTGGCCACGTCATACCAAAAGACGATCTCGGCATCAAGGGGCTAAAACAAGGACTGGTCGGCTCGGTCAGTGTACTGTGTCTGAGTGGGGTATTCATGTTTAACTGCGGCATGGTTACTCATTGGGCTAGCACTGTAAAACTGTCATTAGTCAAGACCAGTACAAGTAGTCCCACATGTGCATACACACGTCTTGGACGCGACGTTAATCCCTGTTTCACCTCGCCTCCTTTGAAGCAGTTGTCAGATTTCCATGAAGAGAGGTATCACATTGGAGTTAAAGATATAGAGATAGACACTCCTTTTCACTTTACTTATCAACCTCCAATGACATCATCCTATTGTTCTCCATGTAAATCTCATAAACAGGGATGTTATAATATCCCGGGGATATTTACTATAAAATATGTTATAATATCTCCCAGATTTTATTAATACATCTTCTGTTTAAATTGTAACATTTGAATGTTTCTCGCTTGAAGTTTATTTTGCATTTTAACACAATGTAATGAAATGAAAAATCAAATGACAAATGTTTTCTTTATATTCCCGAAGATCGAACATGCAACCTTCGTATCTGTTGCCCAGTGAGTGTACCACTAGGCTACAGAGGCGCTGATAAATCACAAAGCTTTTCAAAATGTCTTTTTCAAGTACTGTATGCCAGCAACTGATATTTATGCCTGTTTCCTAAGGTTCATAGAAAGTATGTTTGAACCATAAAAATGTTGATAAAAGTTGTTTTAAGTTTCTTTTTTCGGTTTATAAATTAGATAAAACACTTACCCTTTGGCTATTTTATGATATTTAAAACCTTTATCCTGGGGATAACGACCCTCTGTTTTATCCCAAGGATAAGGGTTTTGAATATTAAAACCCAAGTTGAAGTTCTTTATCCAACACATACAGAGTCTTTACTTTCAACTCTTACAATCAAGGTATTGTTTCTTTTCAGATGTCTGAAAGTTCTGAAAGGAGAATTCCAGAGAGATTTATCAAAGAAATATGGCATAAAAGCTCTCAAGTATCTGTCCGTGGAGTGATCTCAGCGGGTGATGCCACTTCCTGCGTCAACCGATGTGTGAGCTGTACATAGTGTCTGGAAGACAGGATGAATGACGTGTGATGTGTGATGTGTGATGCTGAATGGTAGTTTCTGTGATAAGACTGTGACTGTATGAGCTTTGTCTTGAATGATAGTTGTCAAATGATTAAGTTTTACGTTCTTGAAAAGGATATTTTTATTATATGATTGGATGATATTCTTGGATAGAGTGCAATAGATGTTTCACATAATGCCAGAACTGACCACAGATCACTTAACATGGGGACAGAGAACCAGGTGTCAGGCTACTTCACTAGATGGGCGATATACAACTGTCAACCAAAAGTTGTAAGACTAACGACTTAAAGATCTACAACTATCAATTTATGAATCTATTACTTTCGACTTAAAGATCTACAACTATCAATTTAAGGATCTATTACTTTCGACTTAAAGATCTACAACTATCAATTTAAGGATCTATTACTTTCGACTTAAAGATCTACAACTGTCAACTTAAGGATCTTTTACTTTTGACTTAAAGATCTACAACTGTCAACTTAAAGATCTATTACTTTCGACTTAAAGATCTACAACTGTCAACTTAAAGATCTATTACTTTCGACTTAAAGATCTATAACTATCAATGTAAGGATCTATTACTTTCGACTTAAAGATCTACAACTGTCAACTTAAGAATCTATTACTTTCGACTTAAAGATCTATAACTATCAATGTAAGGATCTATTACTTTTGACTTAAAGATCTACAACTATCAATTTAAGGATCTATTACTTTCGACTTAAAGATCTACAACTGTCAACTTAAGGATCTTTTACTTTTGACTTAAAGATCTACAACTAACAACTTAAGAATCTATTACTTTCGACTTAAAGATCTACAACTGTCAACTAAAAGTTGTATGACTAACAACTTAAAGATCTACAACTATCAACTGAAAGATTTACAAGATATTTGAGATTTGACTAAGAGAATCATGGCTGTTGATTAAAAGATTTACAACTATTGACTAAAAGGTCTACAACTATTGACTAAAAGATCAACAGCTGTCGACTAAAAAATCTACAGCTGTCGACTTAAAGATTTACAGCTATTGATTAAAAGATCCATGACTATCACTTAAAACATATGTGACATAGGTCTAAGGTAGACATGAACTTGTAGTGCTGTGAACGCTGCATGACACAGCATGATTCACTGAGGAAAAACTAACCCTACAACAGAGCTCCAGATAAGCTTTTGGTGTTGTGGGTATTTTACCCATGCATTTTAAAATCGTTGGGTATCAGCTATTCTATCTGGGTATTCAAATTTCTGTTACCCACTAGTTGTTACACATGTGGGTATTTAAGTTAAATATTTCAAAACACTATTCATCTAGTCCCAGCAAACTGGTGTCGTGTGGGTTTGAGAGCTTTATAGGACTCAAAAATACCACGATACTTCCACAAGAAAGTGTGATGGCAAATGATCATGATGTAACTGTCATCGTGGAGTTTGGCAAGGTTGACGGAATGCCCGTTTATAATTCAAAATAAGTTGCTGATTTGCTAATCGAATACGCAGGGTTACTTCACAATATTTTGATGATATGCACAAGTTTTATTTTTGTTGTGTATTTGATACACTTCGATTTTATTTTACTGCGTGTTTCTGCATTTCTGATGCATATTTTACGCAGATACGCAGCTTATCTGGAGCTCTGCCCTTCAAGGATTCACCAAACATCTTAACTCATTCACTTGACTCCTAGATAATGTGTAAATGAGGAAGTATTTGTGGAATATTTGTGCCAACAGAGAAGGTATTGTTGAAAGAGATGCTGTTTCCCTATTATGTTTTTGGGCCACTCTGTTTATTGTATGGTTTTCAGATTTGTCCGAACCAGCCAGGGTAGGGGATGAGAAATATTCAAATAAATTTGTTCAGCTCAATTTTTAAAAATCTTTTAAGCTTGGAGATGTTTGGGATCAGATTTCTTTGTTTTATGGTAAAACTGTGGGTTTTTTGTGGTAATACTGTTAAAGTGCAGGGTATTTTGTATTTTGTGGTGTCATCATGGATGAAAATAGTTTTTAAAGTGTCAACTGTCAACTTAAGATGTTTAGGAATTTACTAAATTATTTCTAAATATTTCTTACAGATCACGATCTGAAAAATACTTTCATGAAAGTGTGTCCCTTACATAAGCCGAACCCTCTGTACAGAATCTTTTTCTGGTCCTCAAAATTTGGCTTATCTACGGTAACATATGGTAAGTCTGCCAACAAGAAGAACATGTTTTTGCTCAGTCTCGATTATTTCTCCATGACCTAGATAGTTTCCCCTTGCTTACATTGAGATTCATAATTTCCCTTTCCAATTTTGTGAATTACTCTTGAGTCGTATCAGTGTCCACAGCTGGTACAGGAAAAAGTGAGTGGGCTTCACACAGAATCCATGACTATACGTGCTCATAAGCTAAGGCTAAATATTTATTGATTAGTCGCTTTTTGTAAGAAATAACAACAAAAATAATTTTCCAAATTGAAATACTGGCATCTGCATACCAGTTAAACATTTCATGGCAACCAGTATAATACACTGTGGCATGTGGAATACCATCAACCAGGCTCCCCATCCAGCATACCACAATGTGGCAACTGGAATACCATGAACCGGGCTCCGCATCCAGCATACCACACTGTAGCTTGTGGAATACCATCAACCAGACCCCGCATCCAGCATACCACACTGTGGCTTGTGGAATACCATGAACCGGGCTCCGCATCCAGCATACCACACTGTGGCTTGTGGAATACCATCAACCAGACCCCGCAACCAGTATACCACACTGTGGCATATGGAATACCATCAACCGAGCCCCGCATCCAGCATACCACACTGTGGCATCTGGAATACCATCAACCAGGCTCCGCATCCAGCATACCACACTGTGGCATGTGGAATACCATCAACCAGGCCCTGCATCCAGCATACCACACTGTGGCATGTGGAATACCATCAACCAGGCCCCGCATCCAGCATACCACACTGTGGCATCTGGAATACCATCAACCAGGCTCCGCATCCAGCATACCACACTGTGGCATGTGGAATACCATCAACCAGGCCATGCATCCAGCATACCACACTGTGGCATCTGGAATACCATCAACCGGGCCCCGCATCCAGCATACCACACTGTGGCATCTGGAAAACCATCAACCGGGCCCTGCATCCAGCATACCACACTGTGGCTTGTGGAATACCATCAACCAGACACCGCATCCAGCATACCACACTGTGGCTTGGGGAATACCATCAACCAGACCCCGCATCCAGCATACCACACTGTGGCATCTGGAATACCATCAACCAGACCCCGCATCCAGCATACCACACTGTGGCATCTGAAATACCATCAACCAGGCTCCGCATCCATCATACCACACTGTGTCTTGTGGAATACCATCAACCGGGTTCCACATCCAGCATACCACACTGTGGCATCTGGAATACCATCAGCCAGGCTCCGCATCCAGCATACCACACTGTGGCATCTGGAATACCATGAACCGGGCTCCCATCCAGCATACCACACTGTGGCATCTGGAATACCATCAACCGGGCTCCGCATCCAGCATACCACACTGTGGCATCTGGAATACCATCAACCGGGCTCCGCATCCAGCATACCACACTGTGGCATCTGGAATACCATGAACCGGGCTCCCATCCAGCATACCACACTGTGGCATCTGGAATACCATCAACCGGGCTCCGCATCCAGCATACCACACTGTGGCTTGTGGAATACCATCAACCGGGCTCCGCATCCAGCATACCACACTGTGGCATCTGGAATACCATCAACCGGGCTCCGCATCCAGCATACCACACTGTGGCATGTGGAATACCATCAACCGGGCTCCGCATCCAGCATACCACACTGTGGCTTGTGGAATACCATCAACCGGGCTACGCATCCAGCATACCACACTGTGGCATCTGGAATACCATCAACCGGGCTCCGCATCCAGCATACCACACTGTATCAGACAAATACTGCGAGCAGTGCAGTTGATCAATAATATTTTATAGTTCATAAGTTAATAGTTCATGTAAATATGTCTGATTGATTCTTGTAGTTGTCGGTTGTTATTTTCTAGTCAATCAAACATTGAGCAGTTTGGAGCTTTAACTGTTTTTTATTTATATCGTTATAGTGGCATTTAGCTCTGGTCTTCCAACAACTGAGTTGCCTCATGTTAAGTTGAGTGGTTAGATGTATGAAACACGTGGTTGTCAATAATACTCACTGCCCCAAATCCCTGTTTTATCTGTACATGTCAATCATGTTGGTTTGCTAATATATACTGGGCGTAAATAGTCAGGGATCATGAATAGTTTGGGGCATATTTCTATAAAATTGTGTGCTCGTCTCCACTACAAATATATAACACCCAAAATATTTGTGATACCTAACTTCTTTTGTTTAGTATATGTGTGAGCTTTATCAAGGCGGGTATTCCCTGAGAGATTTTTAACATTGTTTAGCATATCATAGAGACCATTTAGAGAGGTTAAGCCTTATGTTACAGAATATAGGACACTTGTTGGTAATGAGAGTGTAGTGTTAGGAGTACTACATCGTCATCATGTATCCAGGGTGTCGCCATGGTGTATTGTCTGTAACCATCTGCCACCATGCATAGCTTCGTTTTGAGTTAACGGGGTATAACTGACATGAGGCTAAAAATAGCTATCGAATCAAACTACAGTCAAGTCTTGTTAATCCCACACTTGTTAATCCGACAATCGGCTTTGTCCGACACTAATGATGGGAACCGATTCAATCGTTGCTTTTTAGATCTGATAATATCCGACAGTCTTGCACTCCGACACATTTGCAACAAATTACCAAAATCACTCATTAATCAGTCTCCTTTTTTCCAACGCAGTGATCAGCGTGCGTCATCTGCCTGTGAGTGCACAGCCGCGTGTTTTGATGCGAGTGGCTGCATATAACAACAGCTGCAGAGGTAAATTTGGTTAACAATAAACAATTAATGCTTTAAATAAACAAAACATGATTAATCATATGCTGACATTACCTCAATCTCATTCAAATCCGATACAGGTTCTTGCTACTGCTGAGGACATCCAATTACAGGTCCAGCAGAACGACCTTTCAAATGACTAACAGGAAGTCGACATTAACCACTCAGAAAGCAGCTTTATTTGAGCTTTGCGGCACCAGTTTCAAACAGGCGACTTCATTCCAGACTGTGCTTTTTAAAGTATTTTGAATCAGGATTGTGTTAGGCTTCAGAGGTTGCATGAATCGAAAACATATTCCGCTAACAATGTAACATAACAATATCAACATTTCACATTTCATTACGTGTTTCTATCGTTTTCTATTGTGTAGTTGATTTCATTGATCCGACATAATCATATCCAACCAACTATGTCAGATTAACGGGACTTGACTGTACACTGTTCTTTCATGATGTAAACAAGCGGCTAGGTCTTTAAATATTAAACTGGGAACGCCTTGTAGCATCATGGCTTAACCCGCTGTCTTTATACTCATAAGAAACACTTTTTCAGCAAAGAAATTATTTATAACAGTATCCTGATTTCATTAAATCTTGTGAAAGACTGCGATTTTGTTGGTGGATTTATGTCAAACTTGCGTCATATGAGGAATTTTCATTGGTTGTTGATTTTTGGCTCGTCAGAAGTACTGTGTTAAGGTAGTGTAGGCAAGATGAAGATAGAGATGGGAAACGAAGCTGTGGTGGTGATTGTGGTGGTGCATGGGTCCAGGGTTTTTAGCATAATAGAATGGAGATAATACCCTGGATAATCAAGGATGGGACTACATTGGAGATATGGCATTAAATGTGTACCTTTGGACTGTCATCATGGAAGGTGAGAAGTGAGTGTATTCAGTGATTTGGCTAAATATGTCCTTTGATTTTAAATAGTTTGTTTACAAACTTTTTGACATAATATTCAATGTGGCTGGTCATATATTTTTTTTAATTTGATTTGAACAGATTAGTACTGCAACTAATGAAGGAAACATAAACAAGTTTCAACATGGTAAGATACTTAAGAAAATAATTTTGTTGTTGTTGCTAGAATAAAGATTTTTATAGTATTTTTCACCATTTCTTATGAACAGCTGTGATTAGATCATGTTTTTTTCTTCTCACCTAATTGTAAATCAGTTGGCCAAAACAAATTGTGTCAAAAGCATTTTCTTTTCTTTTTCTCATTTCGGTTGTTTCTTTGTCCATCGGTTTCATAAACCAACTAAATACGGCCTAAATGACACTTGAGATAACAGACCATTTTCTGGATGTTACCAATTATTTATGGGACATTCTACTGTCACAAATCATAAATAACATTTTTCGGACATTACCAGAGGCACAGTTAACACAGGTATGGGATTTGATTGCAGAGTTACATCCCTTTGGCATGCCAGGATCCTATGATAGGGGTTTTATCCAGTATCCCTGCATTAAGGTCCTTGGTTTATCAGCACTATACAAATGATGGTGGGTTTCACCAGATTGGTAAACATTCAAAGTACACATGACTGCATGCATTCCCCTCCAGTGTGATGGGGGCGGTCGGGTAGCCCAGTGGTTAAAGCATTCGCTTGTCACGCCGAGACCCGGGTTCGATTCCCGACATGGGTACATTGTGTGAAGCCCATTTCTGGTGTCCCCCGCCATGATATTGCTGGAATATTGCTAAAAGTGGTGTAAAACAATACTCACTCACTCACTCACAGTGTGATGACCTTTAATAAGATTGCTGAAATATGGTTCAAGGCAGCTTGAAACTTAAATCTTTCTCACTCACTGTAGGTTTCCGATAAATGGAAACAGTAAAGAGACATTTGTGCTTGGATCATATGTAAGAACAACATTAGGTCTGCAGATACTGTTACAAAGTTTAATCAATCAATTTGTGTTTATTTACAGAAGACAAGTAGAGTTTGAAAATTATGAGATCAGAAAATCAGAAAGCCCAATTCAGCTGGGTGTCAATGATTTGGTGCCCTTTTATGTCTTTCCGAGGACACTACACATATCTCTGTCTTATATAGGTATAACTAGATATAAACATTTTACTATATAACTATAACATAGATATAACTGTTATCAGTGTTATGGTTCTGTGTCTTTAGCAATTCGTTTAGTGAGTCAGAATTTGTTCAAGCCGAAAAAATAAAATTGAACCAGACGATGTAGGTTCCCGTCCAAAGAATGTACTGTTAGGGAGCAACCATTTATTTCCAAGGTGGGAGGTGGAGGAGATTTTTTTTTTTAAATAATCAGGCATTTGTTTTAAAGAAAGAGAATAACACTCCTTGCATTGTAGTAAAAATATAATATGCCCATTTTTGCAGACAAGTGCCCAAAGAGTACAGTTTTTGACTATTATTGAAAGACAATTTTTTTATTAACATTAACATGTTGGAAAAATAATTGATCTCAAACTAAAAGCCCTCCGTCCTTTTGAAATCAAGTGGTTGCTCCCAGTCTGAGAGGGGTGTGTAATAAAAACCATACAGGCATTTTGTCATTTCATCCTTCATATTGTCATTTTATATATGTATGTATAATAATGATAACTTTGTAATAAAATGGAACATCTAGTCACCATTTGTTTGTATTTTGAACGTGGAGCATTGGCTTGACCTTTGACTGGGCTCCTGTCTACCTGTGCGACGCTAAGAGGCGACTCACGGATCGGGTGGTCAGGCTCGTTGACTTGGGTGATGCATGTTTTTTGTTTGTTTGTTGTTTAACGCCGCACTCAGTAATATTACAGCTATATGACAGCGGTCTGTAAATAATCGAGTCTGGACCAGACAATCAAGTGATTGACATCATGGACATCAATCCACGCAATTAGGATACGATGACATGCATCAACCAAGTCAGCAGGCCTGACCACCAGATCCCATTAGTCGCCTCTTATGACAAGCATAGTGGCCTTTTAAGGCAAGCAAGCATGGGTTGCTGAAGACCTATTCTACCCCGGATCTTCACGGGTCGGTTGATGCATATCATCGATCCCAATGGCATGGATCCATGCTCATGATGTCAATCACTGGATTGTCTGGTAGAGATTCGATTATTTACAGACCACTGTCATACAGCTGGAATATTGCAGAGTGCTGAGTTAAACAACAAACAAAGAAACCTGCGCAAAGCAACGATGGAACCAGTCAAACCAAGTAGCATCATTGTAGCAGGCCACCCAGGATGGTCATCCATTGCATCATCAGTGCTCATTCGTCCCAACACGCCCCCACACGCCTGTCTGTGACTTGTCCCAGGACACGAGTGGTCACGAATGAGTGAGTGCTCGGATTGAAGAAGGATACAGCTCCCTGCTCGTACATTAACTTACTGAATTGTTAGCTAATTTTTTCTATCATTAAGTTTGATAACCAATTTGCCAAAAACAATATGTGTTGCCAGTGAGATTCGAACCTCGAACCTGCGTTTAACGAACTTGGTCTTCCGCCATGGCATCTTCCCAAGGCAAGGGAGCTAACTGACTTTAAAAGTCCAGTTTCCTAGTCAGTTAACTCTCTTGCCTCAGGAAGATGCTGCCATGGTGACACAGAAGAAATTCTTTGGAATTAATAAATACACATTTACTAATAGCTAATCCGTTTATGTATGAGGATAGCAGTATTTTGTTTCAGTAGGTTATTCTGTACATTCAATGAACATGTGATTGTTAAGAAAAAAACCTGAATAGATAGACAGAAGTAGAGCAGTGACGGGTATTACCCAACAGCTAAGACTATATCCCCGAACATTTCTGCTGTGTTTCATTAAATGAAAAAATAATTAATACATACCACAAACATTTCAATGCGAATCTTATTCACCAGTAAAGATGAGTTAATGCCATCCAGTAAACTTGTTGCAGATAGATGTTTGACATCGTCAAATTTTTATTTTGTGTAATCCTTGTGGGCTCAGCCGATCACCTGCGTTGCGCTTTTTCGAACACTCGTGTCGGGCTAATCCGAACAACAGTTGAGCTTTATCAATTTTGTGGTGCCCGAAGTATCATTGCTTTACCCTGGCACTGTGCCAGGAAAGATTTGAACAGACTTTAAAAAGAAGCTTTATCTTTGTTTCACATATGTATAATGATATGCGTACTAAATACTAAAAACAGAAACAATTATGAAAATATTTTAAAAAATATTCCTAACTTTAAATTATTACACTAAAACTGTTTCTGGTCGGAACAACCCTCAGAGGGAGCCACGTCTGTGAGTTTCTTTGTTATTAATGGCTACAAGGTCCTGTGCCCATAACGAATTGCAATTTGCATGTGGTACCTTCAGAATCAGGAATGAGAACATGAACATTTCAGATTAAATATTTATGTAATATAAAAGTAGAAAACAAACATTATGAAAACACAATTAGTAATATGTTTTCAAAACAATGACTTCCTGAAACATTTTTTTAAAAGCATATTTTTTTTAACCATGAACCATACTTCTCTGTGAGAGTTACCTCCCCAATGGTAACGCGTAATCCTGTAGCCTGACACATCAGTCGATCAAGCTGTCAATGACTCATTTTCCACCGCATAATTAAAGCAGTGTATACATCGGGGTGTCCACGTTGGGCTTTGTTCTACGATATATTGATATTAAAGCCAGTCTAAGACACTAATTAGGGTTTGACACCTGTGGAAGAGTTTTCTGTGCTTTTGGCATTTTAAAACCCTGCTCTAATAAGCGCCCACGGCTATATATATGCTAATATATCGGCAAGTGAACAATCGCGCGCCTTCCAATTGATCAATATACACAAAATGTACTTACCGTATTTATTCGTGTATAATACGCATTTGTGTATAATATGCAGCCCTCGTTATGGGCCCGTTCATCACCAACATACGCAAAACGTGTAAGAATGAAATGCTCGTTGTTTTTCATTTCCTGGTTTTTAGTCTGTGTGTTTTAATTTACATTTTCGAAGCAGACGACAATTCTGAAATTATGAAAATTTGTTCGGTAATAGCCGAAACCGCTCGACTCATTTTCGTGAACCCGTGAAGATTCCAGGGTAGAAAAGGTCTTCAGCAACCCATGCTTGTCGCAAGAGGCGACTAACGGGATCGGGTGGTCAGGCTCGCTGACTTGGTTGATGCATGTCATCGATCCCAATTGTGTAGATATATGCTCATGATGTCAATCACTCGATTGTCTGGTCCAGACTCGATTATTTTACAGACCGCCGTCATATAGCTGATATATTGCTGAGTGCGGCGTTAAACAACAAACAAACAAACATTTTCGTAACCAGAGCTTTTTTCGCTCATAATTGGCCGATCAACATGGGCAAGTCGTTTTACAATCGCCAAATAGCAAAGAGCACGTGCGAAAGGCTCCGTGAATACATTTCACGTGCATCATTCCGGGAACATATTCACGTGCATCACGTGGGGCCGATTGACACAGTATTCACACAGCTGAACATTCACCGCACAGGCCCAAAGTGCGAAGCCCATTTCTGGTGTCCACCGCTGTGATATAGCTGGAATATTGCTAAAAGCGGCGTCAAACCAGACTCGCCAATAACTCTTGAACATCTAATTAAATTCGGTTGTTTAACGATGATGTTTGAAAACTATAGGAGCTCATGTACCCTGAAGAGTGGCCATGGTTTAAGAACGCGTTTCAGGCCGTTTTCATTTTGCTAGTGTGGGCGGTGGGGTAGCATAGTGGTTTAAGCGTTCGCTCGTCACACCGAAGGCCCGGTTCGATTCCCCACATGGGTACACTGTGTGAAGTCAGTATTGCTGGAATATTGCTAAAGCGGCGTAAAGCTATCCTCACTCACTCATATTCTTAGTGTATTGCACAAATAACATAGAAACTTTATTGTTTGGTACATAGAATACATATTCTTGACTCGGGGGGACCAGCGTTTCCCAGTAATATCAGTCGCCGCAATTTTCTGAGAAGAGTTGCGTCCCTTAATCGCGCCAGGATCTGATAATTGTTGGTTCGATCAATGCTCTTACTGACCGATCCTTTGCTTCAGGATTTTGCACTTCGTTTCACAAAGGTAGAAATAGTCTAAAATCTTTAGGTTTTCCCCAGACAACGGAAACGCTGTTCAAAGCAGCGTTAAGCCCGACTCACTAATCTTTTATTTATTTCCACGTTGAACATGAAGTATTTTAAGAGCAACGCAAGAATACTTCAAATATATTCTGTGAATTTATTTTTGATGCATTTTAACATACATTAACAACAAATAACACATTGAAGAAACATCTGAAATACAGCATCCATTTACAAACTTATATACTTAACAGGTGTATATGATCTCATAATAACAATCCAAATACATATTTCACCATTTAAACACAAACCTAGCGGGTCTTACTTGAATGACATTTGGCACATTATCAATTACCGCAGTCTACAGATAGAAGTATACACTGGGAATGTGACATAGGTATTCAAACTATTGTACAGACTATGAACGACCGACTGGGCTAGACGAACCAGTGATTGATAGCACGAACACCACCCAACGCCGTCAAGGTGTATCACATCAGAATAAAAAGCACTTTGAAAGAACATACACAATTATGATACGCTTCCTGCTTCGCAGTTGACTATAAATCTAACGAAAATCGAATGATATTGTGGCCTAAATCATGGGGTAAACCACGTATATCTAACATGGTCTTAGATTTTACGTTTTTAAGGGAATAGACAGAAACTACATTGGCGTTCGTTTCAACAACAAAATTATTTGTTCCTGAAAATGCTGAAAAGTTTACACAAATAAAAAAATCGTTGGGCATGTTAAATGTTCTGGAAAAAGGTAAATATGATTGTTTTGCTCCCTGTCAGAGAAACATACTGTATGTCTTGAAGCACTGGTGAATACATACTCCATTTCAAGCCAAAGTGTGTCATAACCTTCAACCCAAAGTGTAAAAACGCAACACAAAATGATTCAATTCTTCAAGCTATCGACATTTTCACCCCCTTATTAACAACGATACACTGTATGATATACGGTATGAGATCATGTTTCTGAATGATTTGTTTGTTGTTTAACGCCGCACTCGTCAATATTACAGCTATATGACGGCGGTGTGTACTTAATCGAGTCGCATTTGGTATACGATGACATGCATCAACCAAGTCAGCAGCCTGACCACCCGATCCCGTTAGTCGCATCTTACGAATCTGTATGAAATACAGGGTCTTGTGTATATGTATATAGTTCCTTCAAGAGCCTGAAGTTATAAACCCAGTTTTGTATAATTACAGGGCAATGTATTCGATTTTGGCTAGCCACTACTTCTGCTGCGTGACCGGGGAAGATCCGGGTTGAATAGGTCTTCAGCAACCAATGCTTACGTAGGCGACTATACTTGTCGTAAGAGGCGACTAACGGGATCGGGTGGTCAGGCTCGCTGACTTGGTTTGATACATGCCATCGTATCCCAATTGCGTGGATCGATGCTCATGATGTCAATCACTGGATTGTCTGGTCCAGCTGGAATATTGCTGATTGCGACGTTAAATAAAAAACAAACAAACAAAACCTTCTGCTACGTCTATGTACATATCACAATTGGTTTGGGTAGAAACTTGCAGTGAGTCATATGTTAAAACTGTTTTGGTATGTATTTAATCTCCTTCTGTCTTCTGTCATTTTTTGTAGTTTAATCTATACGTTTATATGTACAGTACATCAAGGTATATCAATTTTCTTTCATGCACCCTTCTTCAAGATGTAGATTTCACCTCATCTGTAACAGCGACTACTTCCCGGCTGCCGTCTTTTGCCGGAGCGATAACGTCGTTATCGGAGTCTTTCTCTGCAGCGACATCATCAGCTTTTTTAACCTTCACTGGCTGTTTAGTACCCTGCACTGTAAATGTTTTGTAGGGTCGTTTAGCCAGTGGGTCAGTTTTCTGTGTAAGAAAAACACTCATAAGATTCTTTATAAACCAACACTATTCAAAGTCATAGTTAGTGAATGAATTCATTTGGTTTGAACAGTTTTGATTTGTTCGTTTGTTGTTTAACGCCGCACTCAGCATTATTCCAGCTTTATGACGTTGGTCTGTAAACAATCGAGTATGGACCAGACAATCCAGTGACTGACATCATGAGCATCGATCCACCCAATTGGGATACGATGACATGCATCAACCAAGTCAGCGAGCCTGACCACCCGACCCCGTTAGTCGCCTCTTACGACAAGCATATTCGCCTTTTAGGGCAAGCATGGGTAGCTGAAGACCTGTTCTACTCCGGATCTTCACGGGGAGGCTTTGAACAGTATTCTAGTTATAGCACGGCGTGTAAGCTTGACGTGGGAAGAACGCCCGAACTGGTGCAGTTCCTACCATGAGGATGGTGCTGACAAACCCAGATAAATAATCAGGGTGAATATGGGATTCGAACCACCATCATTGGTTTCTGGGATGCCAAAGGAACGAAATCCTGTTCAGCCAATTACCGCGTGAAATTTACAATTACGGAACCGTGGCCCTATGTTGAGTGAGTGAGTGAGTGAGTTAGGTTTAACGCCGCTTTGAACAGTATTCCAGTTATATCGCGGCGTGTCAGCTTAATGTGGGAGGAAAGCCCGAAGTGATGCAGGTCTCAGACGTTTACCACTTCGGTGAAACCCACGAGCACGGGTATGGTGCTGACAAACCTAGAAACATAATCGGGGCGAACCGGGATTCGAACCCACAATCATAGGTTTCTGGCGTGCCCAAAGGACAGCAACTCTGCACAGCGAATCGCGGCGCCTTAGACGACTGGGTCACCCGTGCCCCCCGTTGAGTGAGTGAGGGTTGTTTTACCCACAGTTAGCAATATATCAGCTATATCACGGAGGCCAGTACATACTTGTGTCAGGCGAGGGGCGGTCTGGTAGCCTAGTGGTTAAAGCGTTCGCTCGTCACGCCGAAGACCCGGGTTCGATTCCCGACATGGGTACAATGTGTGAAGCCCATTTCTGGTGTCCCCCGCCGTGATATTGCTGGAATATTGCTAAAAGCGGCGTAAAACCATACTCACTCATTGTGTCAGGCGAACCAGTGGTTAATGATATGGGCGATCCACGAAACCTGTGTGCCATGACACATTCACTCACTCGTAAAATAAATACACAAAACAGTGAACATGTTTAGGACTCAAAATACATTAAAATGTTTTCAACAAAATTCAATAATGATCACGCCAATCTGAATTGAGGCTAAACAGTTCTCCTGAGGCTAGCAATATGCCTGGATCCAGCCCGAATCAATAAACTGTATTATACCTGTACGAGACGAATGTGTTCAGGTGGCGTTGCCCACGGCTGTTCCTCACCTGTTGGGAGTACAAACACTGTGTTAATATGGAGCGGTTACTGTCATGTACATATTGATTACACTAAGCAAGCTCACTGATCACAGCTGCAGAATGTATGCACATCACCCGAACACACTGCAAATACAATATGTCAAGTGAGTGAGGATGGTCATGTTTAATGTTGCATCAAGTTCTTAGATATATTTTTTCGGTCACAAGTTTCAAGGTATACATTTTTTTCACTGTCGAACAATTAGTTGTATCACCACACATTATTTTCAGTACATATAGCATATCCAGCGAACATATTTTGGTTCGTTAAACCTGGTCAACACAATATCTTACAAAGCGAGCCTCCCATCAACACTAATATCTTACAAAGCGAGCCTCCCATCAATACTAATATCTTACAAAGCGAGCCTCCCATCAACACTAATATCTTACAAAGCGAGCCTCCCATCAACACTAATATCTTACAAAGCGAGCCTCCCGTCAACACCAATATCTTACAAAGCGAGCCTCCCGTCAACACCAATATCTTACAAAGCGAGCCTCCCGTCAACACTAACATCTTACAAGCGAGCCTCCCATCAACACCAATATCTTACAAAGCGAGCCTCAAGTCAACACCAACATCTTACAAAGCGAGCCTCCCGTCAATACTAATATTTTACAAAGCGAGTCTCCCATCAACACTAATATCTTACAAGCGAGCCTCCCGTCAATACTAATATCTTACAAAGCGAGTCTCCCATCAACACTAATATCTTACAAGCGAGTCTCCCGTCAACCACTAATATCTTACAAGCGAGTCTCCCATCAACACTAATATCTTACAAGCTAGCCTCCCATCAACACTAATATCTTACAAAGAGAGCCTCCCGTCAATACTAATATCTTACAAAGCGAGCCTCCCGTCAATACTAACATCTTACAAGCTAGCCTCCCATCAACACTAATATCTTACAAGCGAGCCTCCCGTCAACACCAATATCTTACAAAGCGAGCCTCCCGTCAACACAATATCTTTCAAAGCGAGCCTCCCGTCAATACTAACATCTTACAAGCTAGCCTCCCATCAACACTAATATCTTACAAGCGAGCCTCCCGTCAACACCAATATCTTACAAAGCGAGCCTCCCGTCAACACTAATATCTTACAAAGCGAGCCTCCCGTCAACACTAATATCTTACAAGCTAGCCTCCCATCAACACTAATATCTTACAAGCGAGCCTCCCGTCAACACCAATATCTTACAAAGCGGCCCTCCAGTCAACACTAATATCTTACAAAGCGAGCCTCCCGTCAACACCAATATCTTACAAAGTGAGCTTTCCGTCAACACCAATCTCTCATAAAGCGTAATATCTCCCAATAACTTACGAAGCAGGCCCCCCTTTGCTCACGAACGTACCCATTTAGGTAAATATCACCTTTATTTACCTCTGTTTCCTTGTAGAGTAAAACAAAACAAACAGCGTGCGTGTCCGTGAGCATGATCTTCAGGTCCCACATGTTTTGTGAGTGTATTAATCAGATCACGTTATTTTTCTGTTTGTTCATCAAGACATTGTATGTTTGTTTCTGATTTTCTTTAAGAGGATTCACGTTTTTTCTGTGAGTTTGTTCATCATGTCATCGATTACAATGTCTAGTTTCCGTACATAGCGGCGGCTAACGGCTGTCACACAATCCAAAATACGATGGACGCATTGCTGATTTAAATCTATATTCAGATACAATTCATTACCATACATATCAGTAATACTTATTCTCTGATCAAATCATATCAAAACATATGGGTCATATTTCATGATGCTCATTCGCGCGTGCAGATCTGATTCGACAACTGCACCAAACAGTAAATTCGGGTGGGTGGGGGTGTGCGTCTGAGTGTATGGGGAGTGGGTAATGGGGGGGGGGGGGGGGGGGGGGGGGAATTGGGTAGGAGGGCCAGTTTAAAACGAAGTGTTTTGTTAGGCCTTCTTTAGTTGTGTTCCCGTTTTTCAGGTGAACAAATGACGGGTGCCACCTTTTCGCGAGCAAATGGTGTCATCACATAATGATAGTGATTCATAAACACATGCTCGTGTTTGTTTGTTTATTCTTTAACGCCGCACTCAGCAATATCCCAGATGTATGACGGCGGTCTGTAATTAATCGAGTCTGGACCAGATAATCCAGTGACATCGATGGGTGGTGATAAACCTCACCTGGGACTAATGCGTGGATGTAAACCTCACCTGGGACTAATGGGTGGTTGTAAACGTCACCTGGGACTAATGGGTGGTTGTAAACCTCACCTGGGACTAATGGGTGGTTGTTAACCTCACCTGGGACTAATGGGTGGTTGTAAACCTCTCCTGGGACTAATGGGTGGTTGTTAACCTCACCTGGGACTAATAGGTGGTTGTAAACCTCTCCTGGGACTAATTGGTGGTTGTTACCCTCACCTTGGACTAATGGGTGGTTGTAAACCTCTCCTTGGACTAATGGGTGGTTGTAAACCTTACCTGGGACTAATGCGTGGTTGTAAACCTCACCTGGGCCTAATGGTTGGCGATAAACCTCAACTGGGACTAATTGGTGGTGATAAACTCACCTGGGACTAATGGGTGGTTCTAAACCTCACCTGGGACTAATGGGTGGTTGTAAACCTCACCTGGGACTAATGGTGGTTGTAAACCTTACCTGGGACTAATGGGTGGTTGTAAACCTCACCTGGGACTAATGGGTGGTTGTAAACCTCACCTGGGACTAATGGTTGGTGATAAACTCACCTGGGACTAATGGGTGGTTGTAAACCTCACCTGGGCCTAATGGTGGTTGTAAACCTCACCTGGGACTAATGGCTGGTTGTAAACCTCACCGGGGACTTATGGGTGGTGATAAACTCCTCTGGGACTAATGGGTGGTTGTTAACCTCACATGGGACTAATGGGTGGTTGTAAATCTCACCTGGGACTAATGGCAGGTTGTAAACCTCACCTGGGACTAATGGGTGGTTGTAAACCTCACCTGGGACTAATGGGTGGTGATAAACTCACCTGGGACTTATGGGTGGTTGTAAACCTCACCTGGGACTAATGGGTGGTTGTAAACCTCACCTGGGACTAATGGTTGGTGATAAACTCACCTGAGACTAATGGGTGGTGATAAAACTCACCTGAACCTAATATTATAAACAGTATGGCAGCTACAGCGACTACGCCGACGGTGATGTAGAACACGTGTCTCCAGCCATCCAAGTCCTTGAGACAGAAAAACAAACCAGCATCACATTGAGAATAAGAAACTTGCATCACTTTGCGGAAAAACTCGCATCACTTTGAGGAAAAACTCGCATCACTTTGAAAAAAAAGGAAAACAGCAATACTTTGAAAAAAAGGAAAACAGCATCACTTTGAAAAAAAAGGAAAACAGCATCACTTTGAGAAAACAGCTTAGCATCACTTGCTTCATATCTTGAAATGTCACTGATATGCTCGGTTTGCAGTCTCTGTTCGTACCTCATTTATAGTTAGCTCCCCCGCCACCAGGGGCGCAGCGATAGCCCCCATCACCCCAATCGTTGACGTCACAGCCACCAGGAACGAGGCGTGTCGTGTTGAGAGGTCGTAGTGATTAATCTGCCAACCTGAAAGAAACAAATACCTGTACATTACAAATAAACAACCCACGGAATATTGTCTTTCCTTTACCTGCCACACTCTCTGTGAACATCAGGTCAGCTTAACGAAGCAATACATTGCGAATGGCGCTGTGAAGTCAATGTTTAAGCATTTGAGGTACACAAAATCGTAGCTGTTTGAAACCAGACCCAGAATGGAAGCGAACTGAGAAATAATCAATGAATCCATGTTGGATGTAGGATGGCACCTGTGTAAGGATATTTGTCACAAGCTGAGAAAAATGGAAGCGGATAAGACCTCCCTATATCATCTTCCCGAGGCAAGGGAGTTAACTGACTATAAAGTCCAGTTTCCACCCTCGCCGAACTAGGCTGGACTAACGAGTCTATGCATAGTCCTATCAAAGTCGCGCAACGAAATCGGAATCCGGTTGGTAATCTGTTGTGCAGATTTCGGTCGATTGCAGGATTTGCAAAGCATGTGCACCGCCAACTCGTTGTCAACAGATGTTTTCCAAATCTTTTCATGTTTTTAATCAAGGTGCTCACGTGATTTGGTGCATTTCGCGATGTAAGACCCGTTAAATCACAATATAGATCTTGATTATCGATCAGATCGTCCTGACAGGGCGCCGCCATTTTGTGGACAATTTAAAAAACCTGTTGAAGGAATATCCGTTTGTATTTTTTATGTGATGCCTTTCTAGAACAGATTACGTTTGTTCAATTGTGTTGCATTTTAAAAAAATGGGTTAATATACAAAAGTAATAACATGTAGTCACGTTTAAAATCAACATCCAATTACCTGAACCCAATAGCAAATACATATCAATGACATTCAAATTATTTTCTTGTTTCATTTGTAGTTGGTTGAGATTGCACTGGGTAGAATTTCAAGCTATAATAAAGGTAGATAAATTTGTGAGTACTACTCTACGGCGTATTAGCAATTTACAAACCATTCTGCAGTTTGAGTTGAAATGTGAAACTATGTACATTACATTTTGTGAGGACGCGAAATTAAAGCACCAGCTGTACGGCACGCCTGTTTGTCGCTGGGCTGGTGCTATGTGATAGTAACAGGGTCGAGAGAAGTGTAGATAACAGATTTAATCCAACAATACGTCTGACATAAACACTTTCAGAATATGATACATTTAAACAATAATCTGGCTGTGGAAAACACTTACTCGACAACCTTACCAACATGTTGACCCGTGAAGATCCGGGATAGAATAGGTCTTCAGCAACCCATACTTGCCGTAAAAGGCGACTATGCTTGTCGTCAGAGGCGACTAATGGGATCGGGTGGACAGGCTCGCTGACTTGGTTGATGCATGTCATCATATACCAATTGCACGGATCGATGGTCATGGCATCAAACACTTGATTGTCTGGTCCAGACTCGATTATTTACAGAAAGCCGTCACATAGCTGGAATATTGAATAGTGCGGCGCAAAACAACAAACAAACAAACAAACATGTCGGATATGGCGGCTGGGTCTGTATGCGTTCGCTGCTCGGTCTTAAATTTCCGATACCCGATTGCCGAGGTCTTATTCCCCGACTATAACCGAGGAGGACTGCTTTATCTAACTTATAAACCGTCTAAATGCAAGAAATTACAGAATATATGAGGAAACATCGATATATCTTATAGTGAAACAATACAGTGTGTCGCGGTATAAAAGGAATGCGATCAAAGCGTGCGAGAGAAGAATCACGTGCAGCATCAGTGGTTCAGTGAGAAAACAACGCGATATGTGAGGTTGCAGGTTCGATATCACCCAACCCAACTCCAGTTGTTTCTGAGGCAATGTGTCCCTATTTCACGCTTAACTCTGTAAAAAGGGAATATAAGACACCAATTCCCGAACACATTTGAGATCGCAATCAGTAAATTCAGTGTGTAAAATTTCATTTCTCTAAATTAAATAGTTCTTGAGAAAAACTTGTCCCCCTTGAGAATCGGACGGACGAACTCCGTTCCTATATCCCCATCCACTTTGTGACGGGGGATAAAATGAAGCGGTTCTCGCTATTTTTAGTGTTGATTTTGTTTCATTCAAGATGACGTTGTCACGTAAATAAAAGCGACAAAATCCTTCTAATAAGCATAAAAAATATATGCTAAAAGCAGGTTTTATTGTACGATTCCGACTATATCATAAGTATATGTTTATGAACCAAATCAAAGTGGTTGCGAAAAGGCGAGCATATCCTCCCCTCCCACCGATGGCACCCGTGACGTGAATATATGGTACAAGTCTAAAATAGGGAATTACATGCGATATCGTTTTTCGCCACCGATGCGTCAAATTTGGACGTAAAATGACGCGTCAAATAACTAGTTATTGATGATAAACATTGATTGGCGAGTAACACGTCATTGATATGAAAATAACAATAATTTTAAGAACGATACATTATTAATAAACATTAAAAACAATAATAATATTTTATATGATATTTTCTGAGGTAAACAATGGCAATATCACAATAACAATAATCGATAAATAATTAAATTCGATCCTTAAAAATGCTTTTTATTATTATTATTATTATTATTATTATTATTATTATTATCATTATTATTATTATTTTTGGAAAAGACGAGGACTATAAGGATGATTACGCTGACCACAATAATTAGATACGATAATTAATGTAGTAGGTAGTAGTTTTGGACACGGCGACGACGACGCCGCGGCGATGATGATGATGATGATGATGCGCATGACGTACCTGACACCGCCAGGCCTCCAAAGCCCACTCCTATAGTGAGGAAGACGATCACCGGAACCTTCTGCCACACAAAAGTGAGGATGAAGAATGACAGGGTCTGAACTCCGAATGCTGGAACAGATGCCGAATCGTATACAATAACGTTAAAGGAAGCTCACTGTCGGCAATTAAGCTGGGATAAATAGGACAACGTTTGATAAACTCATTCACAAATCTTTTGCATGCACGCATGCCTTTTCTTTGTTATACAATTACAGGAACGGTTTTTTTGCTGTCAGGGAGGGTAACTCGTCTGATAGCGTGGCATCCTCAAGCACCGCTTATCCTGGGTATCACTATTATTGGGAATAAATGCTGAGCATTTCATGGAAAACCTTTTGGCCCATTTCGATGAAATTTACTCGGTGGCGTGGATTGTTGATCGTGTCTTAACTAACTAATCCGTGAAGATCCGGGTTAGAATAGGTCTTCAACAACCCATGCTTGCCGTAAAAGGCGACAATGCTTGTCGTAAGAGGCGACTTACGGGATCGGGTGGTCAGGCTCACTGACTTGGTTGATGCATGTCATCGCATCCCAATGTGGATCGATGCTCATGATGTCAATCACTGGACTGTCGGGTCCTGACTCGATTATTTACAGATCGCCGTCATACAGCTGGAATATTGCCGAGTGCGGCGTTAAACAACAACAAATCCAACAAAAATCCTAAGAAACTATTTTGCCTGCTTGAGACTCGATTATTTACAGGCCGCAGTGATATTTCTGACTGCGGCGTTAAACAGCATTCACTCATTCATTCTTTGTATTACCTATTCCTGTGAGGAGCTTCCTGACTGTGCCCGTTCTTAATTTGCTTTTGATGAGCAGATAGTCGGCGATGTAGCCGCTGACGAAGGAAAGCACCACCTTCAGTATGTGAGGCAGCGAGGAATACATGCCATTCTGCAAGGTCAAGGGCATGTCAGTGAAACGTAATCAAAAGAAGAATATATTTTCTATTTAACCAGTGCCGGGGATTTGCCTGAATGGAAAATGAAATAAACACCTCCCGGTTGTCAATATACTTAATGCTGCACTGACTCTCGGACCGCACTTAAACGTTAAATAAAAAATGAAACTTTTTTCAACATGAACTGGATGCAAGCACTGGATGGATATGGCGAAAATTGAAATTATTCTAGTACATATGTATACAAACCTCGGCGATGTTAAATCCAAACAAGCTCAGGTAGAAAGGTTCGTTCGTCAACATTAGTATAAACACCCAGTTCCTGGCAAAATGGCAGATACACAGGGATATCACAGCAGGGGAAGTTATAATGCGTTTCCAGGGTAACCATGATTCCTGGAAGAAAGAAAAACGTTATTATGTTTCGAGAACGACGTGGGCATCGCGCTTTTAAGGACAGATCATGTCCATACAACAACGATTAAGAGGCCTGTGAGTGAGTATGGTTTTACGCCGCTTTTAGCAATATTCCAGCAACATCACGGCGGGGGACACCAGAAATGGGCTTCACACATTGTACCCATGTCGGGAATCGAACTCGGGTCTTCGGTATGACGAGCGAACGCTTTAACCACTAGGCTACCCGACCGCACCTAGCTTCAGTGTTATTGAATTTCAAAAGTGAAAGATAGCCTATTTGATAAGGTAATCACTGTCGTGCGTGTATATCAAAGTCGAATACAGAATCCATTGGCTGCAACAAAGTTCGTTTGAGTCACATTTGAGAGTTGCATCCCTTAGTTGTGCAAGTATCCGATGAACTGGTTTCGAGCCCCAAACACGTTCTGATAATGGATCTTGGTCTGTCAGTGGCAAATTTGTATTTTCGTATTTTACTTGAGGTCTGGAAGTTGCATTACGTTCGGGTTCTCTTCCACACCAAGCTGCCATGCACGAAATTCTCAGTCAAATGAATACATGGATCTCCAAGCGGACATCTCTCCCTGGAGAAACTTCATATACGACAGGGGAGGTGTTTCGCCGATTGGTTAAAGCGTTCTCTCGTTACGCCGAATGGTCGGATTTAGTTTCAGTGCTTTTGGTTTCAAACACACCGCCTCCTGGTCTAGTGGTAGAGCTTCCGCCGGAGAGCGGAATGTCCGGAGTTCGTTCCCCGGCCGCTTCATACCGAAATACGTTAAAAGATGGTACTTGTTGTTACCCCGCTTCGCGCTCGGCATTAGGGGACTAAAACAAGGACTGGTCGGTTCGGAGTCAATATACTGTGTCTGAGTGGGGTATACATGTTAAACTGCGACATGGTATCTCAGTGGGCTAGCACTATACATCGGCATCAGTCCGGACTAGTACAAGCAGCCACACACACAAACACCGCTATTTAAGTGAAATAATCTTGAAAGCTAAATACCCAATTTCACCTCACCTCACATCAAGAAGGTTTTTTAAATTGTTCACAGGCTAGTATTCGTTTACAATGGGGATAGTCAGTTTCAAATGAAACAATATGTGTGTGTACGCGTGTGTGTGTGTGCGTGTGTGTGTGTGTGTGTGTGCGTGCGTGCGTATGTATATGTGTGTGCGTGTGTATTTGTGTGCGTGCGTGCGTGTGCGTGCGTGTGGGTTTGTGTGTGTGTGTGTGTGTTTCAGCTGTCCATTACACAACATTCATTTGAATATGTGTTTCCATAAATGTGCGAGTTAGCTATGATATATCAGCATAATGTGGGAGGAAAGACGAAAGTGATGCTGGTTTACCACTTGGTGACGCCCTCGAGCAGGGTTATGGTGCTGACAAACCTAGAAACATAAACGGGGAATATGGGATTCGAACTACGATCAGCGGACTCTGACACGACGACTCTGCAAAGCCAGTGAGTGAATTGGGTATTACGCCGCTTTTAAAAATATTCCACCAATACCGGGCGAATCAAAAACAGGTCTAACATTGGACCTAGTGGGAAATAGAACCCGGCCTTCGTCGTGCCGAGCTGACTATAGCCTAACCGCTGGGCTACCCCACCGCTACCCGTGTTCCCGTTCCGCCAATAGGCAACACTAACTCCTTATAGTGAAACCTGGCTAGTCCACTAGTCTCGCCTAACCGAGTCGGGAACGCTCACATATATTTAGCAACCCATGCTTGTCGTAAGAGGCGACTAACAGGATCGGGTGGTCAGGCTCCCTGACTTGGTTGATTCATGTCATCGATCCCAATTGCGTGGATCGATGTACATGATGTCAATCACTGGACTGTCGGGTCCAGACTCGATTATTTACAGACCGCCGTCATATGGCTGGAATATTGCTGAGTGCGGCGTTAAACAACAAACAAACAAACGCATATATTTAACTTTACTCCAACCCGTAACTCCTAACTTCAACAGTTGGTTCATCTATTAACTAGGAAATCTACAGTCTGGATCTACAGTCTATATTTTTAAATATGGTTCAGAGTTTGGTGAATTTTCCACAGCGTTATGGCCGAATGTGTTTCACTGACATAGGTTTTTCGAAGCATTACTATTGTAATTGCAGCATCATTGTATATCCCACAAACAAGGACATGATTATATCTTAATAAAACCTCCTAGAAACGAATACCTGATAAGCTTATATAAACAATTAGACTCACGTGACTACCCGTCTGATTGGAAAGCTGTCGTTTCATCAGCGTGGTGGCGACATCTGTGGGGCTATCATCATATACCTCTCCAATCAGACAGTTCCATTAATCACGTGCTTAGTGTAATTATTCTTATTTTTATTTATGTGAGCATCACAGCTTGTACTGGGTCGCGTTTGCACAATAGCGAGGTCTGCGTTGGACCTGAAGCACAAGATGCGTTTTACCACTGACCATTAGACTATACAGTAAACTACGTTTATAACGAACAAGCTTATAACAAAGTGACCGATATAACGAACATATTTTTTAACCCAGATCATTTGTTGTATAAATGCTGTATATATGCTTACAACGAACTACGGTTATTACGAACTAAAATTAGTGGTCCCTTCGAGTTCGTTATAACCGTTTATTGTAGTCATCAGGGATGCTGGGATATTTGTTGGAGACAGAATATTTATTATCTCCGAAAGAAGGAGCCAAACAATATATATGGACACACAACACATGTATTTATTATTAATGGATGTTCAGAAGTAGCGACACAATAGCACATGGTCAAGAAGACGTCTTCGCCTGGGTCAGCACTTGCCCACAATTCTTGAGTCACAGAGAATCAACAGTACAATAAAGTACGGTTATAACGAACTCAAAGGGACTACTAATTTTAGTTCGTTATAACCGTAGTTCGTTATAAGCATATGTACAGCATAACTACAGCAGATAATCGGGACCAAAAACGTAAGTTCGTTATATCCGTCAGTTCGTGATAAGCGTGTTCGTTATAACCGTGGTTTACTGTACTTAGGTCAGGCGAGAATCTTTAGCCGTAACGATGCGCCAGACCAGTTTCTTTAGCCGTACCGAGGATTTAATACCTAGGACAGACGGAATTCTTAATGTAAGGAGGTTACAGTACTTAGGCTAGATGAGTTTCTTTTAGTCGTAGCGAGGTATCAGTACGTAGGCCAGACAGGAGTGTTTGGATGGAAGAAGCCTTTCAGTACTTAGTACCAAGGAGTAGCAGACGATCACCTATAGCAACTTGACACTACTTTGGTCAGAATACGATTAAGAAAAACGTACAACACTATGGATAACCACTTCTGGTTTACAGCATATAGCGACGTTTAGATGTAGATTTTTACACCGTTATCCAGCTCTAGCTCCAGCTGCATGAGATGTAAGAATCTACATCTAAGAGCGTGATGCCTACATCGATGCTTACTGATATGGACTTTGCTATGAACTCCACAACATCATTTCTTTACATATCATTTCTCGTTAATGGAATTCCCTT